CTAGACAACCGTCTCTGGGAATTCAGGAAGTCATCCCCGAAGCAGGAAAATCAGTCCAAGGGACACAAGCGGTGGAATCGTTCCTATCACGGGAAAAGCCGTGAAGTAAACGTGCTTGGCCAAGCGAATGAAATCCTGTCAAATGAAATCCAGCTCCGTCACAAAAACTAGCTAGTGATATAAAAGAAAACTAATAATAAGCCTTATCTGATATAACTTAGACCGACTAACGAATGAATATCTAGGGGAGGTTATTTAATACTTTACATTAAAGGTTTCTTCTAGTATACATAAAGCTAAGCGAACCGAGCCCCTAATCTGAAAGCGGAGAAAGAGGGTTTTCTCGAAGATACCTAGGCGCAAGCTTTGATCCCTAGGCGCAACTTCGATACCCGGATTGTTTGTTCTTCTTTTTTCCTTTCGGGACACCTACTGAATGGCGGTCTGTTTCTTCTACTTCAGTCCTGTGGCCCCGCGGGGGTGGTTGACGAAAACTTGGTTCTGCCCTTTGGTAGGGGGTTTTATGTAGCTAACTGGTTGGATTGCTTTTTCTCTATCATAGATGATCCTAATGTAACTGTAACTGATAGTCATAAAGGTTCGTGATCTTTTATGAGATTTGGATGTTGTAGATGCCTTCCCCCTGTGACGAAGGGAAGAGGTAAGGGGGGAATGCGTGGTTAGTATTCCATTTTGAAAGTTGGAGGGTATTAAGGGGGATGAAGGTTTTTACTAAGTAGAGGTTTTAACTAAACTTCTTAATACAAAAAACGTCTTTATTACTCTCCACACACCTCTTTTAAAATAATATTGTTCTAGAAGCCTCGTATAACCAAAATACTTAAATAAAGAGCTTGGAATGACTATTACCTCTTACTTCTTTTTGGCCTAGGATCATAAGAAAATTACTTTACTTCTTCTTTAAGTCTATTATAACGACCTTTTATATAGTATGTAGAGAGTGTCGACTAGGTATCTTACTGTTTTACTGATTGGCGGATGGATGATTTAGGGGGATTTCTAGGGCTTGTTGTGATATATGACGAGATAATGGAGGGAAAGGAAAGTATGCGCTGTTTTGCTGGTTATCAGTGGTTTAACTGTATAAGAGAGGAAACAGACTTACCATCTAATTGTTTTTGAGGATGAGGGAGCAAGAGAAGCGGAAGGATCACGTTCCTAGTAGATGGTCGAAGGATGATCCTGAATCGAAGTCTGCGGAATTGTAACAAGATGTGAAGAATTCGAAAAACTTCGGCCATGGATTTCTTTTTGAATAGATTCATATCGCGTTGAGCGCACAAGGTGGATAGAGGATGAGTGAGGTTCTATTTGAGCTTTCTTTAGATTGGAAGGGAGACATTGTCGGTTGAAAATAAAGCCGATGGATTCCGCTGCTTGTTAAGGCTATGTAGTTAGATGGATGGGATTTTAGGGGTGGTATGGTTGATCTTCTTTTGTTTTGTTTGTGGTAGTGGGGTATAGAGATAGCTAGATATATATAGAAGCAGAGTTTACAGACTTCCTGTGGAACCCCGTCACTTCATTGCGGTCGTTCATTTGATACTAACCGAAAGGCAAAGACTTCCTTCCACCTTGGTGAGACGGCAAGACAGAGGTGAAGGTTGACCAGCTGGCAGTAACCAACATAATATTTCGCATTTTTTGACTCTGATAGATAATCTTCTGGAATTGGGAAGTAAGGCGCAAGGAGATTCTTGAAGATATCGATCTAAGTATCTCACTACCCTCGAATGGCATCTCTGCTTAAAGATGAGTAGACAAACCTCCTTTATATAAATGTAATGTCACTCTTCAATTTGATTCCCTTTTCTAGATTTTCACCTGCGACCTGTGGAATCTCGATAGGAAATTTACTAAATACCTTGACGCGGTAGTTTATTGTTAGCTTAGACGTTAAGCGAGGGATTTCTGTACTTGATGTCAACTTCTTGCGTGGCCTTAATGGGTGTTTAATTTAAGTAAAGTACAGCTCTTTCGTAAAAGTAATATGATTCTAATGTATTTTACTAGTGTGTTGTAGGGTATTTTGCAAGGTATTGTGTATGTGAATTTCCTACTGCACAGTTTCTAGGGTTAGGAAACATCTTGTTACTTTTACGAGGAGGCTACAATATACTTCGTCCCAGGCGAAATAACTGTAGCTCTTCTATGGTGAAAGATTGGAAACAGGGTAAAAACCCCTGGAAAAGTTATAACTATTTCGCCTGTGACGAAATAAGAGACGTGGGCATTACTCTATTCTGTTAGAATAATATTATCCTGAAAGCTTTGTATAACGAAAATAGTTATATAGAGTTGTATAAAACGTTTAGAATAATTGTTAACGCTTACTTTTATTAGCCTAGGTATACTAAGACAATCATTCTACAGTCCCTTCGCAAAAGTAGCAAGAAACAAGGACCATCTACTAGTGTGTTGCAGGGTATTTTACAAGGTATTTTATATGTGAACAGCTTTTTTCCACACGTTCTGGGGTCGCGAAACATCTTGCTACTTTTGCGAAGGGACTGTACATACTAAAAGTTTAGTATAACAACGTTCTATAAAGTGTGTACAGAGTAACGACCAGGTATCTTCCGAAGGAGAAGATGATTGGAGGAAATTGCGGGTTCTACATTCCCAGAAATAAGAATAGAAACCTTGTGAAATCTGAAACAAATTGTCTTCACAGCCGCATGATTACTCAACGTGGTGGTTTCCCAACGCGGTAAATAATGTCAGAAAAAGAAACTGCCAAAGCCACATCCCCGACCTCCCTCTTAACCCCGCGGAGTCTTACAAATCAACCATGCAAGATAGCAATGCCCAACAATTTATAAACACGCCATATGACGCATTTTATAGCACCTGCTGCCGCTCATAATTTTAGGTGTCTGCATGAAGGTATCAAACGGATTTTGCGATGTCGGTGTCTTGAAATGAATCTCTTCATAGACTCTTTTGTGTAGTATGGGCCGAGACTTGAACATATTTTTGGAATGCTTTTTCCCGTCCGGGATATACAGTATTTCCTTATCCTACTGCCGATAAATTACATAAGTACTGCAAATATGATTACGACCGCAGGGACTAAAAAAGACTTGTCCAAAGGATTTTGTGATACTGGAAAGTGATAGAAGATATCGAGGCCTCTTCTAGATGTTCTGGTTGGTTTTCATAGCAGCCGTAGGGTTGGGGCCAATCGGATAATTTCTAGTACTCGAGTAGCGGGGAAACGACGATAAGGGGCCCGCTTGGACTTCGAAGGGCGCGGTTTTGACATGAGCCAGCTCCCCACTAATCGTCGGAGCTGCGTCCAGTCAGCGAAAGGCCCTCCTCAGGATGACTCCAACCATTCGAGCAATTTTAGACGGAAGCCCCAATATGCATTAGACTGCAGTGAAGTATGGGGAAAACAATGACAGCTCTGACCACGGTGTAAAGCTTGATATTGGTGATAGGCTGCTATTGGACCCCGGGTCAGATGCCGGATCTTTATCAATACTAGGTGCTTCCTCTCACTTAACGAGCCTCTCCTCTTCATCAAATACTCACGCCTTTCCAGTGATCTCCTTTCTGACTTTCCAAAATTAAGGTACACGGTACACGGTACACCGATCTAAGCTGGTCACCGAGAGGTTTTTGGATTCCTTCTTTTGGACTCATACATATCCGGTTACACGCCTACGTACCCCATCACCTAACGGGCTTAATACCCCGCGCCTCTGAATGACAACAATCGACGAGATGGACGAATTCTTCAACTTTGAGGACGCTGCTCAGACCAACTCCATGGAACTGCCTGCAGATATTGACTTCGCTACTATTGATTTTACAGCTGGTCCTTACAATCCTAACCTGGTTTTCGCCCAAGAAGAAAATGACGAGGACTCATTCACGTGCCTCCAGCACTTCTCCCCGCCCGGTGGACCTGGTTCAAGTTTACTCATAGATCCTCAAGATGGTTCTGTACTTAATACTGCGATGATGGGCCCTACCGAGTTCACGGATTTTCCGAGATGGATTGATGGAATGAACGTCCCCTTGAATCCTTGTGAATATTGCCGACGCATGAAGATTCATTGCAAGGTTATCCGGGAAGGTGTTCGTAAGGGTTCTTGTACAAGCTGTGTTGCCTTGGCTCGTACTTGTTCTTTAAATCATCCCACTCGACAACTCGAAAGGCCTCGAGATACAAGAAGAGACTATCCTTTGCTATATCCCGAAAATACCATCACAAACGATGATGAATCGAATGATATCGACATTCCAACGCAACAATCGTACACCAAGAAGAGAATACCCTGTGAAGGTGATGAAGATGGTATCTTTCCTACCGGCCCTGTTTCCATGAACCGATATTGTGATTTTGCTGCTAAAAACATGTTGCTGGACACGACGGTCGGTAACGATAATACTAGACCTGCACAGAATTGGGGTTCATTGAGATCTCCACTGGATTCCCCAATTGGGTCCTCATATAGCAGGCCGGCATCGCAGCTAGGAAGCAAGAGAAACTCTGAAGAAGATCTCACGAAAGATGCTGGCGAGGGGACTGCGAAAATTGGTGCTCGTTTCTCCAGAGAGTCCGTTCGTATTCTACGCAGCTGGTTGTCAACTCATCATCGCCATCCATACCCCACGGAGGAGGAGAAAGAAAGTCTTCAGAGGCAAACTGGACTCAACAAGACTCAAATCACAAACTGGCTTGCCAATGCTCGTCGTAGAGGGAAAGTTCGCGCCCCGCGATCAACGTCACCCAGTGTCAAGAATTATCCAAATGGTATTGATATACCTAGAAAGTCATCACCAGCGATGGAAGAGATGAACCCCTTAGAACGTTGGAAAAACTCTCCTCCTGAGCACGAACCTGCTTCAGTCACTGCTATTGCAAAAGCGGTTACTTCATCAACGTTTTCATCCGATCGCAGTCTAAGTCCTCATTTCAGCTATGGTAATACAGAGGATGGATCTGGTCGGTCGATTTGCCGAGAGTCTTCCGCCAGCAGTTTGGGTACTTCTCAATCTAGCGCAGGCTCATTCGCTTCCGCATTTTCGCATAAGTCAAGAGCATCCTGGGGATCATTCGGATCGTTTGGCAAAGGCCAGAGGCGACGTCGGCGTCGTCAGACACCGAAAGAAGTCAAAGTCCCCAAACCTAGTGGCCCGGTAAGAACGTTTCAATGTACATTTTGCACAGAGACGTTCAAAACCAAACACGATTGGCAGAGACACGAGAAATCACTGCATCTATCGCTGGAGAGATGGGTATGCTCACCGGATGGGCCAAATCTGTACTGTCTTGAGTATGATCGGAATCGCTGTGTCTTTTGTGGTCTTTCAAATCCCCCGAATGGACACGCCGAATCACACAACTATTCTGGCTGTGCAGATAGATCACTGGAGGAAAGGACTTTCTACAGGAAAGACCATCTCAGACAGCATCTCAACTTGGTTCATGACGTGAAGTTTCAAACATTCTCGATGGAAACATGGAAAGTCGCTACCCCTGAAATTCGTTCGAGATGTGGTTTCTGCGGTATAGTGATGGACTCCTGGAGTTTTAGAGTGGATCACCTAGCAGAGCACTTCAAAGGAGGAAAGAGCATGGCTGACTGGAAGGGAGACTGGGGATTCGAAGCCCAAGTGCTGGATATTGTCGAAAATGGAATGCCACCATGTAAGTGATGTCTGCTCCCCTTCTCAATAATATTTCTAACCAATTAGATCTTATTCACGACGAACGAAACTCCCCTGAGCCATTTTCATCAAAACCGGACACTCGTACATTGGAGGACTTGATAAAAATTGGGTTGGTCGAGTATCTCCACACCCGTGTTCTTACGGGAGCCCCTCCAACCGACGATGAGTTGCTTGAAGAAGCACGGAAAATCGTTAAGCAAGCGGAAGAGTTTACGACACAACCTGGCTGCCGTGAGGTGTCCTGGTTTCGTGATCTAATTATGTATTCACACCATGGACCACGTAGCCCAACAAACACTGGAACGGAAAAGATGTCATGGGCCCGAAACCCACGAGCCACAGAAACGCTAGCGACATACAACGAATCTGAGAAACTCGCACTTTTTGGCTGTTCCAAAGAACGACAGCTGAAGGATTTCGTCATCGCAAAGCAGGCGTTGGGCCTTACTCCAATACACTTCGAACTCCAAAACGAAGCATGCCGTATATTAGATGAGGCCGAAGTTACTTCAAACTACAAGTGCAAGAGTGCACTCTCCTGGTTCAAATATCTCGTCAACGCTTCTAAAGACTGGCTAGCCGACTTCAGAAAACGAGCTCATCTACCTCGCAGCTCTGAGATATTCTCTGAACAAATCCGATCCACTGATCCTACTTCAATCGATTATTCAATACACAATGAGCAGCGATTAGAGAATGAGATGATTGAGTGGGTCAAGATACAACGTCTTCAAGGAATCACACCAACAGACGCTAATATCCAGCACCATGCTCGAATGATTGTGTATAAGAATGATGATCCTTGGAATCAGACTGTTATGGATAACAATCCTATGTTATATCTGTTTAAACGACAACAAGGTCTTGCCCCTGACGAAAGCATCTGCCCAACTATGCCGCCACTGCAGGAATCGACATTGCCCACTCAACTTTCCCCAATAACTTCTCCCGCACCGAGAGTTCTTCATTGGGATTTGGAGGACATCGGGATCGTCGTGCCCAGAGTAAGCGCCTCACCAAACTACAACGGTAATAATGGACACCAGAATGCCTGCCCTGCTACCGCAATTGAAGCTCTTGATCAACCACTGCATACGAGGATACAGAATCAACCATCGACAAATACAAATTCAACTCAGCCTCTTCGATACTTTCTCAACGATGCAAACTGTTATGGTCGACTCGTCCGTGAGCTGTCACGTTTTGTCACCAGTTGTACCAGTGTAAACAATCCTAATAGATATGTTAGTTTCCTCTTCTTGATCTATATGACAACGATTTACTAACAACGCCAGATTCCAACCGATGCTGAAATACAAAAACAAGCGCGCTGGACAGTTTATGATGATGATGACCCATGGAATCAAACCGCGGCCGATAACGAGGAATGGCTGGTCCGGTTCAAAAGAGATGTTGGACTTGCGCCTCCTGAAGAAGGACCCGGATTACCAGTCTCTTCCAAATCGTGGGCCGTGGATCTCGGAGGCTCAGGATTCGAACCTCCCTACATCTATCCTGCCAAGCCATGCACCAGCTTGTGTGATGAAGTGATGATGTTTAGCCATGCACGCCAAGTCGGCGATGAAGAACCCATAAAAGACAAGGTTTACAAGATCAAACCGGCTACTGCCCAGAAATTCGTCAGCAGCATCGGGACTCGATATCCAGCCCCTCCTACCGTCTTCTGCTCAAGAAAATTGGAGGGAGGCTTGAACGAGTTCTTGACCGGTCAAATTGCTTTAGGGATATTCCCTTCGGACGAGGACCTGAAAGCGAAGGCTCGCGAGATCCTGGGAGTCCAACAGACGGCTGCGGATGATGTCCATCTTCTCGAGAAGTTCAAGGCTATTCATGCGATGAATACGAATCCACAGTCTGTTACTCATGCTGGGTCATCATTCAGTAATGAGGCGGAGTTACTTGCGGGCTTGGATAACGAACTTGCCATGTCGGGTGGCGCGCAGGAGTTGTCGAATATGGCTATGGATTTCGACATGACATCTCCTGGGTTCTCTTAGTAGTGGTACTACTGCTAATTCTCTGAGACGGGATTGGAGTGAGGGATTTGCCGGAGCTAGCGGATTTGGTGGTCAAGTGTTACGAAGATGGAGTCCTCAAAAGTTTTTGTTTTCTAAGCGAGAAGCTTTTCACGATTCTGGCATGAAGTTACGATTCACATGAGCGGTTAGTTTATGCGAAAACATGATATTTAGTAGCCTTTTCTTCTTTGACTTGGAATACAAGTAAGGTTTACAGTATAGGGATAACGGAAAAGTCTGTCGATTAAGTACATACGAAGTAGCTGAATATATATCAGCGAAAAACTATTAGGTATAAGTTATACAAATACAAAACATAGTTTCAAAATATTAGGAGCACCTAGTATTTTGTGCTCGTGCTCCTAGTATTTTGTGCTATTGAGCGAGGAATGGAAGATGATTTGAATTTTGCTTATTCCTTTATACCACAGGTTTACGTATAGATTTACTTATAAATCGTTACGTAAATCGAAGAATTAATAGCCCATGTCTTCATACATTGGCTCTATAACTATGATCCAGTGAATCCAGCTGGAAAAAAGGTATTGATGAGTGAACTCATTTCTTGTGGCAACGCGCCACAAGTCTAAGCGCATTTCTAATCCACACAGGACAGAGGAAAATAATCTGTACGAAATCAACAATCTAAACCAAAGGGACCAAATATACCTAAGCACTTTTGAAAATTCAGAAAACTTTCAAGGAAGAATCCCCCAGATGCCCACACAAATGTAGATTACGTAACGTGAGATCAAGGAACACGTTAGGTAGGTGTCAACAACTGACCGTGAACACCCAATGTTACCACTGAGCCACGGGGTCACCTCTACATGCCCGAGGGCGACGGCGTCTTACTTACTTGCATTCTTGAAGATATGCGTGTGTTCTTTGTTTGTTGTGTGTGGCGAGGCCCCGCTCTTTTATCCGAGGAACCCCTGATCATTCTGTCGAGGGGGGTTCACCCACTTCACGCATCTGAGATGGAGCGGTACTTGGCAATGGGTCTGTCTGTCCTTGGTGGTTTGCAGTAGGTGTTAACGTGAGGCTTGACCTCCAGCCTAGCGCAGTCCAGCCCAGAAAAGCACATCCTGCGTGTACGTACCGCACACGCTCTCTGACGTCTGACACCTCAACCCCTTTGACGAAATGAGTAACGAGATAGAGCGCAGGCATCTCACGTATCTTCTGAGATGGTTTCAGTCTACAGCTATTTACGTATGGGCTGCCACTCTCTACATGTTACTGTATCAGACCATGCTTGGTCTCCATCCTCGGGTGCCCAGTATGCAGTTTTACAAACAACGACCCGCGAATTCAAGACTCACCAAATCACCTTCCATAGGACTTATGACCATCTCGGCCGATGTTCGCCTCCTCATTCTTGAATCTCTCCTCATCGACTCTGATATTATTAGGCAGGAAGAAGACAGTCCTCGAAACATCGCGTATGGAAACTGGTCCAGAGCTAGCACCTTCTCGGATCTCATCAACATATCTTTGACATGCAAGACACTGTACCGTGAAGCCCGTGAGGCATTCTACACGTACAACACACTCTATCTCCGAAAATGTCGGCGAAGGGGCATTGCCTGATCTCGGGGCTGCAATTCCTAAGCTTAAGTCTCTAATCTTCCTCGGTATCTGAATATGCGCTGATACTTTCAATAGCTTCAATCCAAAATCTGATGGCAAAACTCTTGTATTTCCGAAAATTGGCAAGCTCACTGATGTTGTCGGACGTGTGGCAGGAACATCCTCCTTTCTACAGAAACTTTCGGCGCGTCAGCTATGGGCTCGCAGGACTGGTAGCGGTTTCTCGGAGCATCAATAGCCTACGAGCTATTTGTCAAAATACCCATCATCGGCCCATTACCAAGATCAGAACTCTTGAAGTTATTATCCATGTCCCCTCCTCTTTCCCATTGTGCCGTTTTCACAGCGACATCCATAAGAAGCACCATCACGCAATCATCACCCCAGCTATCCTCGCCCAGACTACGGATGTAGAGCACATACCCTGGAACAGCCATCAAGTTCGCTAGTTTTCGGACAAGAAAATGGAGGAACTAGAGTCTGTTTTGGTATGGAATCACATGGAGAAGGCCGAGCTACATGCAGGACAGTTGTCGGACCAAGTCGGCTTCTTACTTCGATGGGAAATGTTCGAGTTCAAGGTCGATACTTCCCCACCGATTGATCGCCGGCATTCGGAATGTGGTTGGTTTCGGCTTCAGTTCTTGCTTGAGTTTCATAAGAGATTTGATCATGGGAAGAAGTATGGAAAGCGGAGAGCTTGGCTGCTTAGTTTAGGGGGTACGGATGCCGAATCGCTTATTTAGATATAGCCTGTTGTTTGGGGCGTTTTGCTCTGCCTTGAGCCCTTGAGGGCTAAATCCGGATTCTGATTAGCAGACTTAGTTGCTTGCTATTATGACAGATGGATATTTGATCCTTAAATCTCAAGTCTAGTCTTTAATACTAGAGGTAAGATTTTCTGCAAGTACAACCACTTATAATAATCAACACATTTCTTACACACAAAACGAGAGCAAAGGTTATTTAAGAATAACTCAACTTAGTGTACGTTGTTTAGTACGATTAGAAGATGAGCTAAAAACCGTATGTTATAATCATTGTTTAGTTATTAGATTAAATAGGAATCAGAGGGATTTCCACAATTGAGTACCATTTTTACTATCTACATCCCCCAAGTCTATTAAAGCACTTCTCGCTCCACAAAAAACAACAAGAAAAAGAAAACGGTAAAACACAAAAATGCCACCAAATTGATCTTTTATACGACAGAAATACCACCCATATGCCACTCATCTTTTTTGTATGTGTTCAACATATAAATTTTATGAAAATAGAACTTCTAGCATATCTGTCGCTTAATGTTCACTTCCTATATATTTTAATAGCCTCGAATATAGTGAATTGCTAGCTTATTTACTAGCGTGAATTCTCGATTTCAGAGAGCCCCTATATAAGTATAGCCTCTATAAATATTCCTCTAAAACATTAACTAGTTGTATATTTATTAGTACGAGAGATACTCGTAAATAAGGGTTAAAAACAGTAGTAACAAAAGTATATAAAAGTAGGTATAAGTTAAGTATTTTAGCTATATTTTAGTATTATCCCTATACTTCTATAATATCTATAACTTATACTTTAATAGTAAGATATATATATATCTCTACTCTTATCATATTCACCTAGTTATTTATATATAAATAACGCTAATATAAACCTTAAGGATTTTATATATAAGAGTTTATATTCGAAATAATCTAGTTAACTATCTAAAGAGGATAATATAGTAAGAAGAGCGATATAGGGTTATTAATATCTACCCTCTCTAGTAGGTTAATTTAGTACTATTATAAAGGGATATTTATAGGCTTAAAATATATACTACCCTCTTTTAACAGTAGAATATTTAGTCGGCGAGTTCCTATATCCGTAGTATCTACCCGTATATTCTTAGCTATTATAAGAGTAGAATAATAAGTAATTAGAACAATAATAGTAGTATTATTAATACTCCTTAGTTTTAACTTAGTATTCCATACCTAGTCAGGGGCGCGCACGGGCTACCTAGGTGCGTTTCTGGCCGCAGCTGGGGGGATAGAAATACTACCTTTTTACGACAAAAAAGCTACTGATGATATAGATATTACTTTGCTAGTAATTTTACTAGTAAACCAGTAATATAGTATATAGGTGGCATCTCTGTCGCAAAAATATTAATTAGGTGGTATTTTATGTCTTTTGCCGAAAAGAAAAAGAAAACAAAATGCATATCAACTCCAACCCTACAATCACATACGTCCCCATTCAACAATAGCCCAGCACTATGAAAACAAACCACGACAATGACTGCGCCGAAGAGATCTCAAGTTGCGGAAGGTAACGAGAAAGGAACTAGACCATTTTCCCCACCTAGAACCAAGTTTTATTCTTGAACGGTCTACCACGACAATGAGTTCTCCGAAGAGATCTCAAGTTGCGGACGCGAATGAACGAAAACGTTGATAAAACTGATTCTTCAGTGGGTATTAATGAAAGAGGGCAACAGAAAGCGAGGAAGAGGATGATAGCGTACAGGAAAGAAGGATACAGGTAGTGGCTGGCTCAGATGTATGGTGTATAGTTTAAACCAAACCACTCAAGCTGCTTAAATATCAGACATCTGAGATCCAGGCCACAGGTTTCGACACGATATTCATGATACCATAAGATATCGTATGGTCCTGTGTGGAATGCAGACTGGTGCGAACATGGCCTTTGTCCTGTACACGACAGCCAGACAAGCTTCCTTTTTCACTTGCTCGTCCTCACGTGATGTAAAAACATCCCCTATAGATATTTGCGTAAGATGAAATAATAGACATTTTTCAGATAGAATTAAATAATAATATAATTATAGATATCTTTTTTAACTTAGGTTATTCTAAAAACTCTAAATAACAAAGAACCTTCACGTAAGGAAAGATAATTAACGATGGTCTCTCGAAATTATTAATAAACAAAATAAATATAGTAATCTTACACTACTTATCTATTGTTCTAAATGTACAGATTAATGTCCTCTTTCCTATTTAGATTAATATTACGCTTAGACTTGTGTAGCGTTACCACAAGAAATGAGTTTACTCATTAATACCCTTTTTTGCTGGATTCACTGGAGTCTGGTAATAGAGTGACTAGATTAATACTATAACCCTACCTTGTATAGAACAAAGCCTTGATTATTCACATGCATAGAGCACTTACTACCATAGAAAGTGACTTTTGCGATTTAGCTACTTGGTCTTAATGTTAATTTAGAATTCCGTAATATTTAGGATACCGTAGTTCCTTAATGAATTCCAAATTTACATAAACTTCCCTAGATCATTTCCGTAACAGATCCGCAAGAAAAGCACCACGAGAAGTAACCCCATCCTACAAATCCCATACAAAGCCAGAATCTCTGTCCGCTAAACCGATCTCTTTCTGCGCAAACCCTCCTTTCCCAGGATATCTACCTACCCTTTGTACCCGGCGTTATCGCATCACATATCTCATCAAGATACTTGACTACATTCCACATACATAATAGCGATGGGTCAGGGGGTGTGCTCGTCTTCCGCGGGATCTGTACCCATGTGACCAGGATACCTGACAAAGTTCTCAACCTCGCAAGTTCCGTTTTATCAGCTTCGATTTCCGAACGGAAAAAAGCGCTAAAATCTTCATGGTCGTTGACATTATTCTCGCACATTTCCGCATGGTCTATACATAACGCGAATTGGTAGGGTGTTCTGGCGATGAGCTCAAGGCTTTGGACGTGCATGACATCTCGCATGGAATGGAGCCAGGAAATCTTTTGCAAGACGGTTGCGAAATGGTAATGTGCTTTTTCGACAGCATCATGCAATGGTGATTCTCTGTTCTCGGCAAACATCTTTGGCGTGACTAGCTCGCAAGATATATGTCTGATGAGGCGGGTCGTGGTATTCTTCCGAAAGAATGTGCTGAATGAAACATCTGTTGAATAGGTTAGTAGGTTCTGATATATGTTGCATGTTGAGAATGAGTGCGAACTAACCCAGATGAGGGATATCCCCAAAGTAGAAGACGTTGTAGTTGAAGTAGACTTCGTAGGCCTCATCGCGTATCTGTCGACAAAGCACCGCGATATCTGCAAGACCGAGGCCGGCAATTCTATTTCTGATGGCTTTTCTATATCGAGGTCTCAGTGGGTAAGGGTTGACAAGGAGATATATCAAGATCATGTGCCGACAGTCGTGAGGGAGCGTTAGAAAAGTTGGAGGCGTATGAGATGCTTCATCTTGTCCAGGAAGTATGATCGTCGATGCTTGGCTCCGAGGCTCTAGATACGCGGATTTAGACTTTGTTCTTCGAGTATTTTCATGAATAAAGTACTGACTTGATGGCAAATCCATGATAGCTTGTGGCTTGCCTATGCCACTCGTATTGCGTGATACCCCTTGAGTAGTATTTGCGTCTATCAAATGTGCTATGGCTGCACTTTGCTCTTATTAATAACAGTTAGCTCCTAAAGACTTGCTTTGTGAAGGGTACTTACCTGTGGAAGATGCAGTGCTTGGCTGACGATCAGAAGTCTGGAAAGCAAGACACGATGTGGTGTGTTCAAGTTAACTAAAACCTGTTTGATGGTAGATTGCACCAGAACATATACGCCTGAACAGTAAAGCTTCACTGGCATCTTGCTGTTGCACCACCGACTTCTTCCCTTCACCCTACAAAAGTGTATCTTAGTAGGTGTTTTACTTCACTGTCAGATAGTATACACATACCACAGTGAAGTTTTCACATCTTGCCTCAAAGGCTTGTGGTTGTGGAAGTATTCACTAGCTGGAATGTATGTATATAAGGACGCCAAGTGAGGTAATTGACGTGACCATTAACACCGTTGTTAGCCACACAGACTGCACCACTGAGATAATAAGCCTCTCAATGAATCTTAAGTGGGATTAATTTGTCCTATGAGGCACTCTATAGGTTCAAAGTACATATCTATTATTGTTCATGTAAGATTACTCACAAGACACAAAAGACTTTATTAGAAATTCCATGAGAAACTGCCATACATAAGAATCCGAAATAAACAAAATCAAAGTAAACAAGACTATTGCGAGCATTATATCCCACTATTTAGCGGAGCAGATCATCTGGATCGTTGCTCTATCAAGATTGTGTCACATGATATTGGGTTTCAAAGAGTTTGTCGCGTAAATTTAGCAACCTTACTGTTACCCCCCAGTTATTTCAGTGGAGTAAGTAACTGATAAGAGCAGATATTTACCGGGTAGACAATAAAAACATTTCAACTCGACCAACTCTCATTTATACTCTGGATAGTATGGAGGAATAAGATGAAACACAGTATTCCTCTTGAAACCCTAAAATTAGGGGATTTAGATCCTGGCTTGAGGGTATAAATGGAGAATTCAAAAAACATATAATATCACCAAACATAATCGTAAAAACCATAAAATCTCTATATAAGAATCCCAAACAAAAGAGTAAACAAAGCCCCAAACCCCTCTATTTACAATCTTAAGAAACTTATCTAATTACTAACCGTAGTAACAAGCGAGGATCTCAACTCATCCCTGTCCTTCAGCTCTTTTTGATGGAGGACTTCTTCCCGTGCTTAGTATGTAGATCGGCGTCTTCGTTTTCCGTGACTGGCTCTTCATCCTCTGTGATAAGTTCTTCGTCGGTAGCTAGTTCTTGTTCACTTTGTCCTTCTTCATCCTTGTTATTTTCCTTATCATCATCATGATCGTCATCGTGATCATCGACCTCCTCCTCATCACACACCTCGTCCTCATCCTCACCATCCACCTCAGACCCCAGAAGCGAAGTCGTCAAACCCTTCTTCTTCTCCCTAGACTTCCTTGATTCAGACTTCGAATTCCTCGCAAAAGCCTTCCATGGTCTCAAAACCCTCGCTTTGATCCTGGGCTCTTCCTCACTGTCTGCGTCATCTGCTTCGTCATCGGTTATCGCGGGCGCATTTGTTTTCTTGTTTAGCTCATTTAGGTCATTGGTAGTGACCTTTGCTTTTGGAGGGGAAGACTTTGGAGTCTTCGTGTTTTTTGGGTCGTTGGGTTTGTGGTTCTCTTCTGATGGCTCGGCTTCATCCTCTGAAATTGAATCAAGTTGCGAATCGTCGTCCTCGTCCTCGTCCTCGGTAACGAGCGCATCTTGAATATCATCGGGATCTGTTTGCTCGTCTTCGTCGTTATCACTAATTTGCTCTTCATCACTCTCCAGGACCTCGTCGCTTTCCTCGTCATCATCATCACTATCGATATCATCTTCTGTCACCGATTCTATACCTTCGTCCTCATCTGCTGTCTCCTCATTTTCTTCTTCTTCTTCATCCTCGCCCTCAGTCTCGAGGTCTACCTCGGATCCTGCCTGGCTTTGAGCTTCCGTGTTTTCATAGGCTTCAGCTATATCTCCTAAAACATCCTCGGGATCTTCCTCTTCTTCTTCGATTTGCTCAACCTCTTCGTCGGTACCTAGATCGTGGTCGGTTCCGTCATCGTCTCTATCAGATATTTCTTCGTCCTCGCCAGATTGCATGATATCATCACCAGAGTCTTCTCCATATTCATCCTCTTCATCGCTCTGCACTTCACTTGCATCAATCTCAGATTGCTCACCCTGTGAGACTTGATCTTGCTCGTCATTTTCAGAGTCAAACTCATCTATATCTTCTGCGTCATTTTCACTATCGGCCTCGTGCTTGGAGTCTGAAATAACATCCTCCTTTGTTTCCTCGCTTACAGGTGTCTCGTGAACGCTAACCGACTTAGTGGCTTCAAAATGATGGTTCTTTTCCACCTCGACGTTTTCCTGAGTTACGTATTGACGGGATTCCTTGCGGGATGGACTCTCGCCCTCTTGGAACCTTCTCTGGGAGTCCTCTCCAATTGCTTCCATCCTATCGTTGGTGATTGAAGGCTTATTTGGAAAACCACTTTCTTCCTGTTCAGCTGAAAGTTCAGTGCTGGGATCCTCTTTGTCGTTCCTAGGTAGCTCCGGGTGGCCCTTTTCCAGGTGTGTTCTATCTTGCTTCTCACTTCCCTGTGGACATGACAGGAGGTCCCCCTTGACATCGAACTTGTCGTTTTCAGTGGTTGAAAGCTGCTTTAGATCACCTCCCTTGTCCTGATGCACCAAAGACGCTCCAGAGATGATGTGCATGGGTTTTATTTCGTCCTTGTCATCATGGTTATCGCCATCCATAAGCCCAGAGGTTAATTCATACTCTCTCACGTCACTACCATTCTTGCTCAAGCGATGGAATTCGCTACACTCTTCCGATGTCTTGATGTGCCCCTGAGTTCCAAGCTCAATAGCGCTCTCTTGGTCCTCGTCCTGGTTCTCGGATTGCAAATCATCCATTTCATCTTCGGATTGTTGTTCGTTTAATTCTTCGCCACTAATCATCGTCTCGGAGTCCTCATTTTCCTGGTATGATTAGATCTGAAAAGCCAAAAGTTTAGAGCACTTACCTCCTCCATCTCACTCAGTACAGCTTCGGAATCCTCAACCTCGTTGTCTAATGTTAGCAATGTACTTTGTTGGTACAATTAGAATACGCACCTCGTCCTCGTCATTCTCGGTACCTTCTTCGGACATTTCGTCTTCGTCCAAGTCTTTGTCAGAGCCATTGACTGATGGTTCTAATTCTACCGCCTCCTTGTGGTGCTTTTAGTTTCGTTCTACGGAAATGGGGTTATCATATCTTGAAGTTCTTACCTCGTCTCCAGATTCAATTTCACCCCCATCCGTCTCCTAACATAACGTTAACCTCATGGTACGAATGACAATCTAAAAAATCTATATACCTCTGCTTCTGTCTCAATTCCATCGCCATCGCTTTCCTGCTGTTTAATGTTGGCTTCTTGTATCACCCGTGATCTTATCACAAGACGTGCCTGTTGGACGTCATTGTCATCTTTAATTTCCTGAGAAGCCAGATTAGATTTGCTGTGCATGTTGAAAGCATGTTGTTGCGGTCATGAAACTCACCTCTTCTTCCAACACACCTACTTCATCACCCTCCTGTAGCCACTTTTAGCATCTCATACCATAATAGTTTAAGATCCGGAAACACTTACCTCCTCATCAGATACCTCTCCATCGGACCCAGTTCCCTGCAATCCCTTCAATTTCTCAAACCACCACTTAGCTGGGTTTGGTGCGAGATCATTCTCAACTAAGTGATCATTCTCATCATCTTCGTCGTGTTCAAAATTCCCTCGTAATGAGTCTTCGTAGTCGCTCCTGGCAGCCTCCTCATCCCCCTCCTCATTGTGTAATGCCGAATCCTCAGGACTTGACTCGACCATCACTCCTCTCTCAGTGGTATCACCTAGATCGAAATTTGAAGACATCCCGCGTAGTCTCTTGAACCAATATTCGGCAGGACATGGTGCAAGGTCTTCCTCAATCATACAATCCTGTTCGTCTTTCTCATCGTAGGGAATTTTATTTTCTTCCCCATTTCCTGTATCATCGAAAGCTTCTTCTTGAGACCTTTCTACCTCCCCATTTACGCCCAACCTCGCAGCATCTTCTTCCCCGTCACTTACTTCCCCATCCTGTTGGCCACGAAGTCGTGCGAACCACAACATTACCGGAAAAGGCGCCACATCCCCGTCAATCAAGCATTCCCTCTCATCCTCCTCATCATACTCAACACCATCCATCACAGAAATCTCCTCTTCTCCATCCACACCCTCGGGTAGAGAGCCATCCCGGTCATCTCCCTCCAAATCTTCAAGCTCAGATCCCTCCCCAGATTCAGATGTACCCTCGACACCATCCACGCTCAATTCCGGACTCTCTTCAAACCAAGTCCTTGCAGGTTCTGGACTTCGGTCATTATCATCGATCTTGCACTCCTCTCGGAACTTCTCAATTTCCTTCTGGGTCTTTTGAGAGCCATCGGAGTGGAAAATACGATCGGTGTAAGTGCTGGATTGCTTGAAGATACTTATGTATGTTACGGAAGTGTTGGAATTTATTTTTTCTGTGCGCTGGTCGGAATGTTCTTCTTGGGGTTGAGACTCGTGGGATTCTGATTGGGGTTCTTCAACCTCATCTTCGCTTATTTCCCCATGGCTTATTTCGCGCTCGCTTATTTCACGCTCACTCAGCTCGCCCCGGCCAAAGTGATCCTCATCTGACAGTTGCAGACCGACCTCATCTTCATCTTGCTCCGATTCAGTATCGCTGGACTTATTTTTTTCGGATCCATCTTCCTTCCACTCGTCCCTATTCTCTGCATTCCAATCAGAGGGGTACCGTTCACTATGGCTCTGAGACATGAACTCGTGTTTTGACAGTAAACAAGAACTGAAAGTTGATTCTTGTTGCCCCTCTCCACTTATGGTTTCGTCGTCGCTCACATGGCCTTCTGTCCCCACATCTCTAACTGGATTGTGTGAGTTATCCGATTTCATACCTCTAAGCCGGCTTTCTGGATGATGACTCATGTCTTTCTGCTTCTTCTCAGACAAGAACTTCTGGCCATGTTGTACCTTAATCGTAGATGGGTAATGATCACCCTTCTCTTTCTCATGTGGTGGACTATGGACATCTCTCAGCTTCGAATCATGACCCGGGTTTGGCATAAACTTCGCCTCAAGTGGCTTTTGTTCATGGTCCTTAGGAATCTGATAGGGTTTCTGAGGCCGGGTACTCATATTCTTGGGGCTGGATTGCTGTTTCTGTTGAGCCGGTACCTGAGTATTAGGACTCGATGTTTCTTTAGCAGGCTTGGGTATTATGGCAGGAGGAATAGACTTGGGAACTTCGGTCTTGGGTAGAGGCGACTGTTTTCTAGGGGAAGGCATCTTTGGAGGAGTTGTTTCATTAGGAAGAGGCGCAGACCTCGTCTCGGGCATTTGCTTTGGTTGATTCAGTGTTGGTATAGGAGCTGCTTTTGGAGGAGGACCGTGTTTTTGAGCGGGCGATTGTTTTGGTGCGGCAGGCATTTTTGGAGCTGCTGGCCTTTCTGACTGTGGAGCTGGCTTAGTGGTATGAGCCTCCTTTGGTAGAAGGTCGGCTTTTGGAGCCGGTGTTGGCTTTGGGATGATAGGCAGATTTTGTGGTTGCATTTGTTTGGTTGCAGGTACCTGATTTGAAGCAGCTGCTGTCTGCGGAAGTGGGAGTTGTTTCAGAGGAGTCGTATTTGGCTGTTCCTGGTGATCACCACTCCCTTGCTGAGATACTTGAGGGAGTTTATTTATGTGAGGCTGACGTTGTTCGTTTTTGGGTGCTTGCTGAGCTTGATTTCCATATTGCGGCATTTGGTTAGGTCTATAAGGTTGTCCGCTTTCTCCTGGTTGCTGATGAACTGGAAGGTGTTGTTCTGGCTGTCTATTTCCTGGGCTGTGCTGCATTTGACTTTGCTGTTGGGTATAATTCGGCATTCTACTTTGAGATTGTTGAGTGTTCTCTAATGCGCTTTGCTGTTGGTGTGCAACTTCCTCTTGGGCTATACCGTGTTGATAGATAGCACCTCTTCGCTGCAATTCCCCTTGTTGTATACCTTGCATCCTCAAAACCTGCTGGTCCCTACTAGGGTGAAAAGCTTGCTGAGCTTCTTGCTGTTGTCGAAACTTTGCTTGCAACTCATTGGAGTATTGTGAAGACTGATCTCTGCCGGATTGGGAAGTCTGAGATAGTAAATAATCTGTAGCTGCTCCAGCTAAACCAGAAACAGCTTGTCCTATACTAGAGTTTCCAAGCCGTTCGTGATTTTGAACTGCTTGGATACGATGTTGCTGTTGCTGAATTTGAGAAGGAATTCCATCTTGAACAGGTTCATATTTCGCTTGTTGTTCTGCTCTTTGTAATGGCTGTTGTCCAGGCTGAGGAGCAAATGCGGATATATGACCTGTAATCGACCCTTGTTCTGGAGTTCCAGCATTGTGTTGTTGGGCTACTTGTAATTGGGTTCTATTTGGCGTACTATGCAATTGTTCACCACTACTAATTTGAGCTTCTTGCTGTTGCTGCAAAGCATTGTATGAAATTCCCATCTGCACTGGTCCATAATCGTCTTTTCCAGTCGGCTTCGGAGGCTGCAAATTTGTTGTGACCCCAGGAAAACGATCTTGTTGTCCTGGTGCCATATTCAGCATTCCTTGACTTTGTGGTTGACCTTGTCCATCCTGGCTGCGTGGTGGTATGGGAGAATTATAAGGCATCTCAGCTCGAAGGGGGCCATAATTCGACATGTTTTGCCTTGATGGCATTGATAGAGTGAGGTCTTGCGCAGAGTATTGCTGAGCTTGTTCATTTGTGTTGGCAGGTTGCTGTACAGCGAGCGGTGCTGATACTTGACCCGTAGGCGGTTGCAATTGTTGTTGTAGCGGCTGATATGAAATCCCGGGCTGAACTGGTCCATAATCCAGTGCTGTCCCCGTTCCAAATTGCCGTTGCGCCTGGTTCTCCGGCAGATCTCCTTGATGGGGATTGTCATACTGTATTCCGCATTCCTGCTGGGAATACCGAATGCGACTCGGTTGATTCTGTTCTTTCTGTGAACACTGCAAATGACTCGCAGAAGTCCCATAACGCTGACTTTCATTCCCCATCAATGCACCCTGCTGTTGCCGTTTTGGGATATAAGGTATCTCAGGAACCGGCGGTACATATTCTGGATACTCAGAAAGCATATTGTGCTCTTCTTGAGCTTTCTGATTCAGAAAGTTCAGCGCAGACTGCTTTTTCGAAAGGGAGTCATCGCTTGAAATCGATGAAGTGCTGAACCTCCTTCTTCCTAGGAAACCTGACGCTGTTTCAAGAACTTGATTCATCATTCCTGTCGGTGCTTCTGAAGTGATACTTTCATGCGACGGGTTTGTGTTATTAGGTGGATCATAGTTGCTATAGTTTGGAGGCTGGCTTGAGGGATGTGGACCAGGACGTAATATTGGTGGTGGCGATAGATTTCCATAGTGGCTCATTCCTGAGTGCGCACCAAATGGATTTGGTTGTCTGGGTAATGTGCTTTGAGTGATATTCATTCGGCCGTTTGGAGGTGAAAGAGTTCCATAAGTACCCAGGGATTGACTTTGAGGAGTCGAACCACCTGAATATGAGGGTGTTTGGGTTTGCCAATTCTGAGGCCTGCCATCATTTGCATATTGTGACTGATAACTTGAGAAAAATTGAGTAGGTTGTTCTTGACGTCGAAAATCGTTTCCTCCAAAGCTAGGAGCACCCAGTCCCTGAAAGCCCTGTTGTAAGACTTGTTTCCCCTCTTTCCAGTTTTGCTCTGCTTCGTCCCATTCTCTCGGTGGCAACCAAAGCGGATCTTCTTCGGCTGCTTGAGAGGCACCAGATGGTGGGAATCCTGATATTTGTTGTCAGTATAGCGAATAGGATAGATGGAGAAATGCTTACCTTGAGGAGGCATTGTGCTTCTTTAGCGGCTTGGTTGATTCAAAACGCCAGGAAAGCAATAACTCTGGAAAGAAGAGCAAGAAAGATAGCTGGTGAAGGTAAACGCAAACAGATCCACATTCTCTTATAGAGCGCAAGGAAGTAAGAGACGTATAGTAAGACGCCAATAACAAAAGCAATTGAGATGCACCATCTCTTATTCTTCCGTCAGCCCTGGCAGCTTCTTTCAGCTAGAATTATTTTGATGAGACGAAAGCCTTTGTAAGCATGTTATTCCTCGGGTTTCTTGCTGACTTGGTTGGGCCCAGAGTTATTTCAGTCTATGTTTGTTGGTGATTTTGAGATGGCGGGTATCAATTGAGAACGCCCCCGCAGCCACTCATGTCAGATAACCGAGTTGAATTTGAACAGTAGGGTGCTGGGGGTTTTACATAACTCCATGGAAATGAAAGAGCCATAATTCGGTAGAGCCATCAAAACTGGATAAAATCAATTCAACTATCATCATTCTTTTTTGAAAAGCTAGGGTATCTAGTCACTACCAGTGTACCCGAAGTCTTGGTGTTATCGCTTGCTGCCGAATATTTCAATACTGCCACTTTGTTCAAGTAAGCAACGGCAATGAGATCTCTCAGCTATGTAAGTAACCAGGACTTTACCTGTCGTTAAGCCACACTGTGTAATTGAAATACCTCGTGGTTACCCAAATTTCGAAATAGCTTGCAGTAAGAACTCTGCGCTATCATGCATACATGACCGATGTGTTCCTCTTCTGCAGAGCCTCCCAGGTAACGCATGGCTCTTTTCTCTTGCAATCAACTCTCACCTGTCCCCACATCTCTCCAACAGATAGTACAACCAACATGTGACGAAGCAGATAGCGAGGTCGGTCACGTGGTGGCGAACGAAGATCAAGAAGTGTAATGAAACGACTTTCTGGTACATTTTCAGTATGCCCATGCCTTTTTGGATGGCAGATAGTGCTCTAAGAACGAGGTGGGGATGGGGGATCTGTACTCAATTTTGACATTTAAATGGTGACACGAAGATTGATGAGGGATCAGAACTGTACAAGTACAACCCTCAAAAACAGTGTTAACCATAGGCATTTTCTGGTTGAGAAGTGACAAAAAGAACAACTGAACGACTCCAGAAAAAAGCCGATACACCTAACGACTCTGGAGTAGATTGATAGCATCAATGTCGCCTAAACAAAGCAATTCAGACCCCAATAATGTAGATTGCCGAGCTCTCGTAAGCTGGCAAACACTTCACAACCCGTCATCCCAATTCCGAAAATCCAAACCGACTTCGCTCAAATTCAATCCAAACACCGCGCATAAACAACGCAGGAACGAATGACTTCATGAGCATCGCGCGGACGGAAGATCAGACTGTTCGTGGCTAAATCCGGGCCGACGGACGGCATTGAGGGGGTTCTGAATTGTTGCACACCGCATGTTAAGCATAACGCCTTTAAGCTTTTTCATCAACGGCTTTGGGGGCGAAAAATGACATGCCGGATGGTGTTTCATGCTGTGATGTGATGTAATTTGCAAATGCTGACTCAGGACAGATCCATGGGTAGCCTGAAAATCGGTCGGCCTACAAAACGATAGGTATGTAACTGTTTTCCTGAACATATGTTTTCTATAGGTAGCAGACTGTTGCTAGAATTCTAGTAAGTTTTCTGACTAATTATGATTTTATCCAATTGTGTCCCAATACTTCGAAGTTTACATCTATTACATCTAGTACCCTTGACTCGAGTGTTGTCAACGGGGGTACGTCACGTGGCACAATGTCACTAAGGGCACACCCAACCGATTATTGGGAAACACCGACCATCCCATCCAAATCGCAGCTGCAGCCAAAAGGACAGGAACCTGCCTCACCAGCTCCATCGTTGGCAAGTGCAAGCGTTGACAGAACCGCCCGGCCATACGGTTCTTTCGCAGTCTACTTAGAATCGCTGCTGGGCTCTCATGATTTCACTCCACCAACTGACACAGAGCAGCTAACCACCTCCATAGTCCCCATAGACCGCGCAGTCGTCCCTATATCTGAACAAACTCATGGTTGACCATGGATGCTCCAGATGAGGACAAAGATGTTGTACTCCAACGCTCCTCGGAAGAAATCATTGCAACACTCAAGACATCTGTGAAATCATTTCTGCGAAAGAGTGAGAAGAAGAAGGTTCGACGCCATGTCCGAGTGCGTGAGACACAGGGAATTCTCAACCTGGTACGATATGGATTTGCCCAACATCAACATCCCACCAGACCCACATAAGCTAATACAACCATCAACAGCTCGAGCATTTTCAAGAGCTTCCACAGCTGTTAGATCCCCATCTCCAAACCCTCGTTCCTCTTCTCGCAGATGCATTCCTCGAGCACCTCGTGCGGGAACAAAGCTCAGAGTCGAAACCAACTGAAAAAGTCCCCAACGATTCCGACCACCTTTTGCAACCCTTGTCTCAGGCAATCTGCCAGCTACTATATACGTTTTGCAAGATTCGAGGTGGAAAGGTCATTGTCAGGTTTCTGAGCACCGAAACTCGATTTTTGGAGCTGCTCTTGTCGGCTATTGAGGCCGGAAATCTGGAGGCGGACGGTGACACCCCAAAAGGACATACACGGCGTTGGGAGGAGCGCTACATCACCCTTCTCTGGCTTTCACAGTTGTTACTGGCTCCCTTCGATTTGTCGACGATATCGTCAACTGTGGCAGTAAATGGCACCTCGAGTACAATTCCCGGCCTGGAATGGCCTGAAAACGTTCCGGGGGTCTCTGTGCGAGTGATTTCGCTTGCTATCAAACATCTTTCTTCGGCTGGGAAGGAGAGTGATGCCGCAAAAGTACTTCTTGTCCGTGTCGCCATGCGCCGGGACATGCAACAACTTGGAATATTGAACTGCTTAACACGGTGGGCCATTTCCATGTTTCGTGCGCCTGAAATGGAGGTGAGACTAGCCCAACATTACATTGGCCTTCTTTCCTTCCTAGCAGGACTTCTTGTCTCTTCTGTTGGTACTAGTGACTTGCATCAGCATCTCGAGGGGATCTTTGTGCTAGCGCAAGCAATTGTTGACTCTGAAACTCCACTGTTCAAGATCATCAATGATTCTGCTGTTGCCCGAAAGAATGCTATCAAGATGATCCGAACGATCGGGATTCTTGACCTGCGAAATATTGCAAATTATGCTTCTCAAGCCAGAATTGAAGGTACGATTGGCCACCTCTTGGGCTTTCTTGCAGACAGATCTACCCCAGTTAGACTTGCAGGCAGTAAGGCGCTTAGCATGGTAACCTTGAAGCTGGATGAAGATATGGCTTCAGAGGTTGTTGACGCGGTCATCAACGATCTGACTGCAAATGGGAATCCCTGGCATGGTGTTATTCCGAATGACGACTTAAAGGTTTTCAACTTGTCCAGCGCTGATGAAATGCACTGGCACGGATTAATCCTGACACTTTCTCATTTGTTGTATCGTCATGCCATTCCAGCCACAAAACTCGGTCCCATCTTGTCCTATCTCATTGTTGGCCTCTCCTTCGAAAAGCGAAACACTTCTGGTGTGTCAGTTGGCACCAGCGTACGCGATGCTGCCTGTTTTGGCATTTGGGCCTTAGCACGGAGATACACCACGGCTGAGTTGAGATCTGTCGCTTTGGACACGTCGGAAACCCCATCTCTTTCTGCTACTTTTACCGTCCCTCTTGAAATCCTAAAAGAACATTCTCAGGACTTAGTTGTTCAGGGATTAGCTATAGAACTCGTGATTTCCGCTTGTTTGGATCCCGCTGGCAATATTCGTCGGGGTTCTTCTGCGGCATTACAGGAGCTTGTTGGCCGACACCCAGACACTATCATTGAGGGAATTACACTCGTTCAAGTGATAGACTACCACGCGATCGCTCGCCGTTCGAGAGCATTCCAAGAAGTTGCGCCACCAGCAACACGTTTATCACGCATCTACTCCGACGCTCTTGTTGCAGGACTTGCCGGTTGGCGTGGTGTTGGTGATAGTGATGCTTCTATGAGACGCATGAGCGCGAATGCATTCTCAAAGATAAGCTGGGCAGATCAGCATTCGAGTTGCAGCTTGCTCCCAAGCGTTGAAATAACTGATTCTTTGATGCGCCTTTTTAATCGCTACAATGATTTGCCTGTTCGAGAGGCCAGCGAACGGCATGGAGTACTTTTGTGTATTGCAGGCATCACCGAGAGATTGCGACCAATTCTCGGCATATCAAATATCAAAAGAAATCTGGAACAGAATTCCCTTCTGCCTCTGCAAAAAGTTCTCGGTAGTGTCATCTCTATGTACATTCCAGTACTCATTGATGCAGAACTAAATTTGGATAAAAAAGGGGCGGCTGATTTATCAGGGGAGGGTATAAGCCGTGTCCTACTTTCAATGATTCCGCTTCTTCGAGCAGAGCTTGTATTGCGTTGGTTCCTGGGAGACTCTATATCACAGTCATCGCGTCGCAGCGAAAAGGAGCAAGCAAGTATGCTATGCCAGCTTGATATCCCTTTATGGCACGGGGGAGCTGGATCCATTGTCCCAACTGAAGCTTTGACCAGTTGCCAAAATTCTTATGATTCCGGCTTCCCTCCCATGAAAGCAGTCACAGAATCAGCAAGAACACTTTTGGTTCAGTTTGCAAAATTAAAAGAGAAGGAATCAATTCAATCTGTCACTGAGGCATTGTCAAATTACATCCTCTTATTCGAGAAAACGGAAAGGGCAACTGTGGTTATGGAATTGATTGAAGCAGTAATAGCCGATGGCAACAGTGGGCGAACGGGACAGGGCAAGGCCAGTTTGAAATCGCTTTTTGTGATTTTGCCGCTTGTAACAGATTCCTCTCTAAACCCAAAGGGCTTGCAAGAGAAGATTTTCTCCACTTTGCATTGGAGATGGACTCTTGTTAATGACATCGAAACGAGAGTGACAATCCTAGAATGTCTTGCTAATAGCAGTGCACTTCTTACTCATACAACGAAGTTCACGTCAATGATTCGGGAGGGTCTCGACGATTACACTACTGATAATCGGGGTGATGTCGGCTCTCATGTGCGTATCGCCGCACTGAGAGTCGTGGAGGTATTTGGCCGCAATCTTGAGCCTTCGGATAAGCGTGGTTATGCGATGTTCCATACCTTTGTTGGAAGAATACTCAGATTAGCCTCAGAGAAACTTGACAAAGTCCGCATTGAGGCTCAAAAGGCTTTGACCTGGGCGACGAGCAACGAACCAAGGTTGGTTATGTGGAGCATAGCGATTTTTCATACTAATCTTCATAGTCATCGAGGCGCGTTTATCAAGCTATCACCAAATTCTCATGAATACTATACAACGCTCTTGGCTTTCCCTGAACACTACTACTTGGATGGCCTAATCTACCAGGTGCAATGGTTGACGCAGGTTTTGGAAGGGTATGTTCTCTCTGCGGATACAGGTTCGCAGGATGTTGTACGAGCAAGCCGAGACGCACTTGTAGAATACTGTGATACGAAAGACATACATGCTACTCTAATTAGCTGCGCTCTTCTCGACCTCCTGACTACCAGCATAAATGACAAGAACGAAAGAATCATACCTTCAGTTCTGGAAGTCATCGCATTCCTCCTCGACATGGGGATCGTGCAGCGAAGCAAAGTTAGGTGAGTCACCATCTACTCATGCCCTTCAGGTTATCAAAATATTGATGAGATATATTCCAGTTTCCCTGAGCTCTTCAAGCTTGTCCAGAAATCCCACTTCCAAACTAGAAATGTCAAGAAATTAGAGGCGGCAGTCAAGGTATATGGGGGGATGATACCAATTCATAATGGTGTATTAAAGAAACTGACGAGTATGCTTCTTCATCCCTTTCCGAGAGTGAGGAACTTGGTTGCGGAGGAGTTGTGGGTTCAGACGGGAGTTGGGAAGGGAGTCAACTGGACGAAGGCTACGCAAGCTGATATGGCGGTGTTAAGGAAGGAATTAAGTGTCGCTTAAGAGTGTTCGTGTATTAGTAGTAGCATCAGAGCATATTGCATCTTAATACATATGTTTTATGTTAATTACCTGGAGTCTCTTTTTAAGTAAGAGACGCGGGCATTACTCTTTATCCACCTGAGTTAAAAAAATATTATCCTAAAGACCTCATACAACTAAATCAAATATACGAATAGTTTAGAATGACTAATACTTTTTACTCCTTAACCTAGGTAAAATTAGACAATTGATTAAGTTTTACCAGACTTTTAGTATAATAACTTTCAATAGCCTGCATAGAGCAATACTCGTCTCTCTTACGTGGTAATGTGATTTGTAGTTAAGATACTACTCTTATACCCCGAACTTAGGTTATGAACTTGTAGCTAAGTATAGACTTCTAGAAACTTTTTTTTAAAGTTTTAAAGCTTATTGAATGTTATTGTGTCTTTATGTGGAAATCTTCCTGGGTTTTATATTTGTATATATGGGTCTACTTATCTGTGATATCGAAATATTCTTAGTGACTATTTTTTCGCTTACAAGTGTTTGGTAAATATAGAAGGAATTTAGGGATGTAGGGATATAATTGTAGCTTTGATATAAGTAGAATTGGGCGCTGATAGGATGTTATATACAGGGTTTGAACTACGAGCATAGAATGAGATAGAAATCAAGGGCTGCTTGTTGAGATTGGGAATAGCGTATTTCGTACATTCTCTCAAGAGCTCCACACTTTTTCAGATACGAACCTCATTCGAAACATCCAACCAAAACGCACACCGTTTCCTCAACTGCCTCATCTCCACACCCCCAAATCCATTTTCTGCCACCACAAACTCCTCCCCAGTGCTCTTCGCTTCCGCCACTCCTGTCTGGCTATCATTCGTAAGCTTATTCCCATTCGGATCCCCAGTCTGGAAGTAACTCGCAAACGCGCCCGTAAACCCTCTATAAATCAGCGAGTTAGAAGCTTGCACAGCATTGACGGAATTCCAATACATGGTGTCGCTTGCGTGTTTCGCGGGGGCTATCGTGTATTCGCCGACGTAACTTGAGGTTTTGGAGGAAAGAGCGAGCCAGTAGGCGGGGCAGGTTAGGGTTGAGTCTCGGAGTACGAGGCCTGCGCGGGTGGTGAGGGTGGTGTATGAGGGGACGGTTTCGGTTGTGCCGTTTGCGGGGTAGAGTGTGAGGAGGTGGTGATGGGTGGTGGGTGAGAGGGTGGGGAGGTAGGAGGTCAGCCAGGATGAGAGGGTTGTTGTGGTGTTGAATGGGGGAATGAATGATTCTCCTAAACCCTCTGTTAAACGTTGGGCACTACAAAGTATAAAGCGTGGATGTGCACCTTCGAGGGTATTGTACATTCCCCAACCAGACTCGAAATCCATTCCCCCATTCCGCACGGCCTCACTTAAAGGGATCTTCAAAAACTCCCCATCAATGACAGGTGCCCAAGCGAAATAATTCGCACTGTACTTAGCTTCCGCTGCGATACTAGCCGCCGCATCCGAGATAATTCCAAAATCAATCGTCTTTAGACACTTAAGACTTTCATCCCCCGAACACCCTGTCATACTTACAAGTTTATCATAAAGAGCCTCCGATTCCGGATCGTCATACCTGTAAGTTTTCGGCCAGAACGGAGAACTCGCCAACGCACGATTAAACAATTTCGTCTCGCCCAAACTACCATTCGTCGAAGCCGTAGAAAGCACCTGCGCAACCACCGAACCCCCACCAGCCGATTGCCCAAAGATCGTAACATCCTCCGGATCCCCTCCAAACTCCTTTACATACTTCTGCACCCATTTCAAAACCGCATTCTGATCCAACAGTCCCGGATTCAAGTCCGAAGTCTCATCGTTTGCGATTTCGGAGCCGGGGAGGAACCCAAATGCATTGGTGCGGTAATTTGGATAGACCATCACGAAATCGTTGCGTGATGAGGTGTTGAGAATGGGATATCCGGATGGTGGAATGGCTTGTGAGCCACCGCCTCGGATGAAGCCGCCGCCGAAGAAGAAGATTACTACGGGCCGGAGGGGGAGGTCTTGTGTCCATGGTCTGGAGTAGAGGGAGAGGTAGAGGCAGTCTTCTGAGCCTACGATTTCTGGTCTCTGTTGTGTGTCTTAGTGATACTCTCAGGTGCTTTTTGGATAAGTTTGTTTGAAGTGAAGCAAGGTTTTAACTCCCTCTGACAATGGGCAAAAGACTTACAGAGGCAGCACAAGGATCAAAACTTCGATTCGAGTCATAGATTACATCTGTTAATGTAGCTGGAGGCTGGGGAGCTCGGAATCGATTCTCGCCTATAGGCGGTGCGGCAAAGGGTATTCGGCGGTAGATTGTTATATTGTATTCTTCATTATACGCTCCAGCAAATGTGCCGTAGTCCAAACTCGCAGTTGTCAATTGTGATGAAGATGAAGCAATTTTAAGCAAAATGATGATGCTTAAGAAGAAGATGTTAGGAATTTTGAGGCGGTTCATGATGAAGATACGTTAGCGAAACTCTCATAAGGATTCATAAGGAATATGAAAATTGGTGTAACGAAGCCATCGAATTAAGCTTGGCTGAGATATCGTACTTGTAAGTGCGGATGAAAGCAGATATAAAGAACGATTCTTTGAAATTACGATACTGAACTGGTTTTTGACAAGGAAGTGCGGGGAATGGCGAAACTGACTTCTGGGAGATAGACATGGGGAGGATGTAAAGTTTGGACCGGGTAATGTGCTTTTGTACCTTACATGACAGGGATTTACCGGTTAATGTATACGGAATTTGAAGAGATTGTTTTTCCGAATGAATGATATGAGTATGCAGTTGGTAATTCTTGCATGTTAGCTAAACGGTTCCATTCTTCTCTTTCTCCATTTAACTTCGGTGCTAGCAGGTTAGGCATTTTCTCAGATATTGTAATCGAGTCATGTGATCTACATAGGTCATCATACAAACAAGGCAATCATAGTTCCAAACTCAGAGATCTATTGTTATAAGTAGTCTACTCTCAAAATGGTCTTATTGTTAGCCAAAATTGCAACAATTTCTTGAATCACGTGACTCCATAACCTTCGCTGGAAGCTAACTAAGGTACCAGCCAAATTCTTGATCACTCAAAAGCACCTGAGAGCTTCGACGGGCAGTATTCCCTCAGCAACCTCTTTAAACAGTCTCACGCGCTCAATCCGACTGCTCAACCACTTCTCGCTCAGATGCTCAACCCTTGCCCCGCCTCTTTCCACAATATCGCGGTTAATCCAATCCACCAACTCATCGATATATTGAACCTCATCCTGCTTCATAGAATGAAAGTTCCTCCCGTACCCTTTCTGTAGTACTCGCTTCTCATATTCTTCTCGCATCTCACTCTCCGTCGGCAAATCAACCTTGCCGGAGAAAACACCTGCCACCGCAATAGCGAGGTATTCGAAAAACACAAATGTAGCAGTATAGTATGGTATTCCAACGAATGCTAACGTGGGATCGGGGATGTAGAAGATGTATTTGTGGAGATTATGCATTTGGGTCCCATCTGTTACGAGGACCTTGTCATCGGCCTTCTCAACTGGGATGTTGTGATTCTGGAATTGTGGAAGGAAAGGTCGGGATTGGTGATAGCCGGTGCAGAGGATAACTCTATCTATGTTTTCTAATTTTCTTCCGTCTTTCAAAGTAACAGTGCCCGACGGAGGGAATTCTGAGGAATCGAGGCGCGGAATGGCGAAAGACGATACTTCTGACACGCGTTCTATCGATGGATCGAGGTATGTAATCGGAAGATCGCATTCCCCTCCACGAGTTGATTGGTATATTTTCTTGGCTGAGGGAGCTATTTCCCTTCCTATGTCCACTATGTTCCATGTTTAGCTTGGACAATTAACCAACAGAATGGAATTGTGCTGGGACATGAAAGGAACGTTCGCTTACTGGCTGATACTCCAGCCCCTATCAGGAGAACATTCTGTGACATTAATTAACATTGGGACGGATATCGAAAATCAGGGAATGTTACTTGGCCATCAAATCCAACTGGTCTTCTATAACCCTTTGAATGTTGGACTCTGTCTGGCCATAGCGATTTCCATTCTTTCAGTCCAGGAATGTCCGGAACTCGAATGGCATGATAGTGACCACTAGCCACAACCACAGCATCGAATTTCTGTATCTTTCATCAACAACGGTATTCGTAATAGATGCATTCTTTCTCGACTTACATCAACATTAGATATTACCTCCCATTCCCCCTCAGCCCTCCTGGTTAAACTCATACTTTCAACAATCCACTTATCTTCTCCCTTCACAACATTTTCAACGCTAGTATGAAACCTGATAAGCGTTTCAACATCGAACTTCTTACTATAAGATTCAATATACTTCTGTTTCTCAACAGACGTAACCCAATCACCCGTTCCCTCAGGCCAAGGATGTCCTTTAAGCTCCTGCATCGAAGTCGGGATATTATTTTTCAGATTCTCGTAAGCCGGTCCAGGAGGCGCAAACAGGAGTTCGATTTCAGACGCCTTTTGCTCTTCTCCATTTTGACTTTTGAGAAGTTTCTTGATTTCAAATGGTGGGGGTGTTGGTGATTCCAGAGGGTATGGTGGTTCTGGGGCGGACAAAGGATTGTAAAGCCTACCATTTGTTATTATATTGACTGACTCGGAACGAACAGACTCAGAATCTTAGAACTGACCAGTTCCCTCCTACTTTCCCGGCGCGCTCGTATACTACGACTTCAATTCCCTCGCTTTTCAGCCATTTGGCTGTGACCACGCCACTAACACCCGCTCCTATGACAGCGACTCGATTGACATTTTTACCACGACTCATAATGTAGATTAAATTGTTAGACTCAGGTGAGGTGAAATATACAATAGTAATACCGCACCTAAGGGGTGTAAATTTTGACATCTTGTACTCCTGAATAAGTACGCTATGTAAGAATGGGACGATTGGTAATTTTGAGGGGCTGAGTGAAGCACATCAGGTTCGGGGTCTCTGACGTGATTTGGAAGCGACGAATGAAGGTTTGCTAGATAAGCTGATAAGCAACATGCCAACGCCTGTTCATGCTAGAAATCTTGTATTGTATGTTCAGTGTTGCAATGCAGCAATTGCGCCTTAATACAAATTCTAAGGAGCTTATGAACTTGTTTTACGAGAATGAATGTAAAGGGGTGTCGCTTACCTTGCCCCACGTTGGCGGGATGCGAAAAACAACAGGCCACGTACTTGTATTCTCGTAGATATAGAAAGTAGCAGAAGTTATTTTGTTTTTGTCTTAATAGGTTCTTAAAGTATTTATTATATGCTACAAATACTTTAGATCCAATGGAAACTAAAAAAGGTTATATATATATATATATATATATATGTATTCCATTTAGATTTCCAAAATCCAGAGCCTCATCCTTTAGAATATTCAATCCCAAATCGAAGAGACTTAGGAATATTTCACCTTGGAATCGTCTTCCAAGCGCCGAACGTTGCTATCTTCTCTATTTAACTATTACTATAGCTACTCACGATGACCCGTAATCTCCGCCTAAACCAAGGAACAAAATTCATTTGAATCGTTCCCATTAATCAGTCTCGTATCCACTCAATCCAAGAATACATTTCATCGTGTCCTCTTTCCGCTTCATGATATGCAGTCTACAGTACATACCAACCACCTTCCACGCCTAGAGCCCCTATAGAAGTAACTCTCTATTAAGCACCCTCCACCATCTATCTATTACGATGGACTCACGCTCCATCCCACGGAAAGGCGGCGCTGTGCCGAAAAACGGGTCTCCAGCACTTGCCTGACTATAACGAGAAGCTACCTCCCCATGTGTAGGTTTTACAGCTTGGTTCATATTCCAACGTATCAGCACGGCTTGGTTTGAATTAGTATCATCATAACAAGTTGAACAACAAATAGCGACACAATGGTCGACTTACAGAAGGCGAAGAGAACATAATTATCGGCATTATGTATCTATAGAAGATGGCTAAGTCAGTATTGCTATTATCGAAAACTTAATGGCGAGTTTAGAGGTAAATACTAACAGCATACAATGGACCGTTTCGCGTTTGAGTTAAGGCAAGGCAGGCTCGGGGGCCAAATGCCATTAAGCGTTGTAAAACGTCTCCTGAGACTTCCAGGGTTTCTAATAAGAAAGCCTAGAAAAAGATATTAGCTTCAAACATAAGAGACGAATGCTGTGCATACCATATCTTCCACACCAACGGAAGCATCTGCAACTGGCACATCTATTATACGACCCCCTGCAAAACCAGCTACTCGCTACCATCAGCATGGTCCCAGATATGTAGGCAATGAACACTCGCCATTTCGTGGGTAACCATCAATTACAGGTCCATAAAACTCGAGATCGGTAACAAAATGAAGCAATTCGTGGAAGAGAACACCCTGTCTGGTATTAAGAAACGCATGCAGGTATTCAACTTGCGAGTTCGCAGGATTCAAAACGAAATCCAGGAAAGAATAAAGAGTCTTCCATTCTTCAAAGACTTTGATGATGGGTCCTTCTCCTGCGTTCACGTACATCGAGACTGGGTTGCCGATGTTGGTTTTCCTCGGGGTGGGTGTCATGTCGGCATTCACAGCTATTTGTAGGTTCCCGACCAGGCCGGCGAATGTTCTGATTTTGGAAAGTCGACGGAAGATATCTTATTGTACTTTCGTGGTTAGTGAACGGATTGTTTTACAACTTGGGATGGGATAGGAACGAACGCACTTATGACGAAGGTGTGAAACTGTGGCTCGCCAAACCATTGAATGAAGAGGGCTTCGCCAGGAACAACATAATCTACAATGTATTGAGATATCTCTGCGATTTGGTCGATGTAGTGGTTCACGTCGGCTTCAGTTATAGGAGCTGGGGGTCTAGTACCCGTGGTGGGCAAGCCGAGTAGCTCTATATTCCATCTTTTATCAAGAGGCTTGGAATCTTGTCGGGAGAAAATGCTTCGTCCGAAGGATATGTGAACGAGGAGAATGTATGTTATAGTTTGAATAGGATGCATTTCTGGGGTGTGGGGATCTGAATGGCGGACAGGAAAAAGGGTGAATTGAGATATCAAAAAAGCCTCGATGATTATTGGCCCGCTATATGAGGAAGGGGAAAGAGGTAGGTAGGTTGGAAGTTGGAAATATCTCTACTTTGGCTCTAGAGTCACTTTTCACCCATTAAGAAACAGTCCATTGACCATAGCTTTTAAGATAACGAATCGAAGGAATCGTTAATGTTCTTTGGCAGCGCAGATTAGACATAATACATCGTATACATTAGATGACTTCATATAAGGAAAATCTTTAATCCAATTAGCGGATCTCGTGATTAAATATAATATAGTTAAGTTGATTATTTATTTATTAGATCAAAATAACAATACAGTAAAAGGCCAGGGTAGTAATACTTCCAAGGGGAGTGACATCCCGCGTACCTTATAGTCCAGTAGCGTGGGCTGGCATACCTTGCCCAGCCCCGGCTGTATTATATCAAGTACGCCCCCGCATCCGCCCCCACCCCTGTTAAGTTCTATTATCACTCCCCAGTAAACTACAATCTAATTGGCTTACAAGAATACAGTATAGGGTCCAAACCTTTCCATAATGAGTCGTACGCCAGGTGGGTGGAGTCGCGTGCTATCCTAGCCATTTACAGATGGAAATGGTTAAGAACATAACAATATGTCTAACTAAAAGTAACTGATATTCGATATTGATTAGCTTAAATCATCAAATCAGCTTCATTGGTCAGATGTTTTCTTGGATGCCCTAGCCTAGAAACGTGGAAGTTAAGTCCATACAGTTAGTTGTATTAGCAAAACGCCTTGCGAAAACGTATATTGATCTCACATGCGCGTGTATAACAGATGAACCTAACCTTTACCTAAAAGCACTTTGCTTTTTGGTATTTTCAGCGTCCTCCTCCCATGCTTATCGCCTGGATTTAGGCCTATCCTATAGAATACTACCTTTTCGGACCGTTGGGAGATTAACTTTACAAGCTTGTCGTAACATAACACAAGTATCCCACGTCAAAGATAAAGAACATACCAAAATCCTCAATGTAAATCCAAGAAAAAACAATATTATTTCTACATACTCTACACTACCTAATCCCGTAACCCTGCCCCAAATGAGACCACCAAAGGAAAATCAACACCAACGCCTGAAACCCACGCTATCCGACCCTGATTTGCCAGTTGTGTATCTTAACCATTGCCTACGCACAACGCCAAAATCCCATTATGAAAAGAAACATCAAAAGGAAAGAAAAATGGAAACCACAAACCTTCGACCGGGAATTATTGAGTGATGGTCTGACCCAAAATAGAGTAACATTCCGAAGGATCTTCAAACACAAACCAGTAATTCTTTGGGACACATTCAAAGGCCTTTTCAAATCGTTTCGGATCATTCTTTTCTTCCATTCCTAGAGCCGCGATATCTGTGACTTTGCGGATGAGGATGAGGTGGACCCAATTTGGATGCTTTCGGAATCTGGGTGATGTAAGCTTGCGGGCTTGAAGATATGGTAGATAACAAGGAATATAAGGAAAAGCAGGCCATATTTTACTTACATTTCACCATAAGCCTCAGGATCACTTTGAGTACTATCTCCAATACAAATCATTTTCCTCTTTGGGAACCAAGAGTTGATCTTGGAGATCCGATCCACTTTATAAGCTTGTGTTCCCAAAGTCAGATTCGACAGGAGACCAGCGAGGTTCATCCAGCTTGAATCACGGAGGATCATGGTTCCTTGAGGAAAGAATCTTTGGCGGAAAGCCGATAGGAAGGAATACAGATTGTATGGAGAGGCGGAGAGATAGAACCATGGGGATCGTGTGGAGACAAGCGTTTGTAGGTACTGGTAGAGTTCGGGCATTCCAGCAATGGGAGTTGGGTCTGAAACGAAGGTTGTACGGAGGATGCCGATGGGGTCGCTGGTTTGTGTGATTTTTATGGTGTCATCAATATCTAGTTGATGTTAGTATACTGTACGTAGCCAGCTCCAACAGCAGGTTGGGTTGTAATTGTCCTACCTGATATAACACCCCAGCCCTCGGGTTCAGCATATACCGTACGCGATCCCAGAATTCCATTTGTGCCCTTTGGAACGAGCGCAGTTACATGTACAACATTCCCTCCACGACCGTCTGGGATTGTCTTGATTTCACTACAAATACCATTTCTTCCGCCAGGACCAAGTTTCAAGTCCACCTTTCCACCATAATGGACTCTTACAACTCTCCCAGGCAAGACATCCTGGACGAAGGGCATAAGCCTTTCTTGGATCCTAGCTTCTTGCTTGTCACCCTTGGCAATCCCCAATTTCTCTGCAATATCTGCCACAACTGTACTGACTTCTACCCCGCTATTCTTATCAAACACAGCTGCCACAAACTCTGCCTCCCATTGCCCAGTCTGTTTATTACGGTAGGCTGTATTGTCGAGTAGCCACACTGTGTCTTCCGAGGTTATCTGTTTGGGGAATGGATTCCATGAGCCCCAATAGGAGAGGACATTGTCGACGAGAGAGGGGCGATTGTCGGAAGCAATCTTGCGAACGTTTAGTAGAGAGGATTCGGTGGCATGGAAATTTCGCTGTTGGCGAGAGCGATTCTCGAGTTCGGTTGCTTGATACATGGTTTTGATATCGGTGACAGCGTACTTTGCGTGAGAGATGTATTTGGCCATTATGAGGGAAGGGAGAGAGCAGTATAAGTGAACGGGAGGATCGATCCTTCCTTTGTTCAGGTGGTTAGTTGGGTGCAGTTGCTGGATGTTGGCACCAACCTGGCTCGGTAAGAGTAACGTAACGTGAATGGCATGAGCAAACAGTAGGAAACAGGTTGGAGTTGGAGCACAGAAAGAGAGAAAGGACGGAGGCAGTGTTTCTAAGGAGTTTCGAGTCGACTCCCAACTCCTTCCAAAAAACAAACATCACAGGGGCAAGTCTGAGCCTTGGCCTGGAGCCTCTGGGGCGAATTCGGTGTGCACTTGCACGGTAACGGTGCATGAAGATATTCCCAGGCCAGAGGCCATTCGCTCAACCACGTTGGACTCGGCCATCCTCATTTTGACACAAGATAGGCAGATAGGCAGCTGGATGAAGCCTGGTCGCCTCGATCAAGCCCCCCAGATGCGGATGCAGCGTGCAGGTGGTGGGGATCCAAGTGGGTTGAGGGTGTGGATGAACGTCATGACCGAAATTGTGTTGTTGTACCGGCACCTGATGGCCTCACTTGATTCGACACTTAATGCGCCCCCCCTGGGAATGGGAATTGGAGAAAAGCAATCACGATGTTCAATGACATCGATTCGCATGCGCATGCAGGAACTCTTCCACCTGCAGGTGCAGCGGTACTCGAGTACCCGAGTATCGTCGTGATCTTGATAGCTGTAGATGTAGGTGGAGTCCGGGATTTACGAAACCATCGGCGGAGTTGCGACGAGTGGCTTTCTCATGTCTGACATTCCTTGGCGTAACATTGCGGGGAAAGCAACACAGGCAGGCATTCGGATGCGATTTCGCTAAATGACAGAATGTTGCGATGTGCAACAAATACATTCAAACTTTCTTCGTTTCTCTGTCAATTTCACTGTATGCAGTCTACCCAATCAAGAAGACCCTGTCTCATTGCGGGTGGTTCTCGTGATCAAAGTAGGGCGACTCATGAGCGAGTTGAGGGTTGAGCCCGAGTAAATAGTTCAAAGCTAAAAAGACGCACCAAACCCAATCTCAGACTAAATATTAGGTAAGAACTAAACAGCCTACCGTACTTATTTTTGGTTGTTGAAGCCCAAGGAGGGAAGTTGTAGCAGAACTTCCTTTTCGTTTCTGTCTCGCTCCTTCAGCTGCATCTCGGTATTTACTTCCATATCCAAGTAAATGTGTTTCATTGTAATCATTTGCGATATGCTACAAACTACCTGCTGCAGCTCGTTCTTTGGGGACTTTAATTAATTAGCTGATATTGGAAAACGCCCTATGATGGTTGACTCGCCAATCAGTAGTCCACTGTTCGACTTGTTGACTCCACAAAGTTCGTGGGCGTTCTTGGAAATGAACCGAGATTCCCTTCCTGACGATCACTATAGGGCGGTACCCCACGTTGGTTTATGATTGGATCTGAAGACCAAGAATAAAATGAAGAATAGAAGTGGAGAAGATGCAAGTAAAAAGGAACTCTCGCTTGTACAGAACATATAGGCGACATACGAAAGGGGGTGCGGAATAGTATGTCGCCCAACGACGCGGCCTTGGATTGTCCGTGGAAAACAAACTAGCATTTAGACATATAAAACTCTCTTGATCACTTTATAAATTCAAATAAGCCCACTATTCCCATGAACATGGTGGACGACTCTATAGGTGATCGAGTCGTAAAACACAATGCACTACCCAGAGAAATCAGTTCGACTGCATTGACGGGCGCTCCCTGATCTACAGGTTTCGGAGCTAGATCCTCTGCCACTTTTGACCTTTCTTATCAACTTTTGGAAGTCTTCACTACTATTGAGCCTCTACGTTTTTGGGGGCAATTGATATACTCAAACAGCTCGTAGTTATTTCAAAGTTCCTCGTGGGTGGCCCGGCTTATTGTCGGATAGGCCTCCGGTATTTGTTCCGATACCCCACTGTGTCGTCAATGAAGCTCAAAGCTCCAGCCCTGCAAATCCATAACCTTCCCTTCACAAAACCGAAAAGTCGATATGTCTGCACCACAAATACCAAATCTTTTGGCATCACGAGGGAGCCCACGTTTACGAGGATCTCGTGGAAGAGGTCGTGGTGGAGGACCAGCGCGCATGGATGCCAGTCAACGAAAAGACCTTGACATCCAGTCCACAGATACTGATGCAGCAGTATCGCGCCTCAGCGCAGTCTCTGTAGGTTATCTTGACGACCCATTTGCGCCATATTTCGTGAATGGTCCTGGCATACGCCGGCTGCCGGTCATCAATCGCGGTATGCAGTATCTGTTCCTGTTTCTGCTGTGTTTGGTTACTTCGGCCTAATCAATCATCATAGGAACCTATACAAGAACCTCTGCTCTAGACATTCTCGTAGATGCGTTCCTTTCTCATGCCTCGGACGAATCCAAAGATACCCCTACGAAGCAAATCATATCTCTCGGTGCAGGAACCGATACCAGATATTTCAGGCTTCGCGCGCAGAACAAACACCGGAAATTAGTATATCACGAATTTGATTTCCCTTCCGTCTGCGGAACAAAATCACAATTGGTTTCCACAAACCAAGCTCTGTTAAGTCAGGATGACACCGCCACTTTCTTTACAAAGCGAAGCAAAGATTCCTCGGACTCTGATAACGAGTCGGAATGGGGCTTTGCAGGCAAACAGAATGGGGAAACAGATATTCGTTATTGTTGCCACCCCCTTGATTTGCGTCGACTTCCATACACACCTTCGATAAAAACACTCAATTGCTTCCACGGTATTTGCAGCGATATACCAACACTCATAATTTCCGAGTGCTGCTTGTGTTATTTGGAGGTGGATAATGCTCAGGATGTAATAAAATGGTTCGCGGATCGGATACCATCCTTGGGCATAGTGTTATACGAACCCATTGGGGTGGACACTTCTTTTGGGAAAATGATGGTTGCGAACCTAGCATCTCGAAATATCACTATGCCTACAGTCAAAATGTACAAGGCTCTTTCAGACCAAAAGCAGAGACTGTCGGATGCTGGCTTCAAGGCCACCAACGATGACGGAGGCCAAGATGCAAAAACCATAGAGCACATTTGGGAGAATTGGATCAACGCAGATGAAAAGGAGAGGGTTGATTCTCTAGAAGGGCTGGATGAGGTTGAAGAATGGCAGATATTAGCGCGACATTATGCCGTTGCTTGGGGTTGGCGGGGGACTCACGGGTGGGAGAAATGGAGAAATAAACTCGAACATCAATGAACGCCATTCGGAAACGCTACACACGGTTCCATGTGGCCATTCCCCGGTGATATTTTCGTGTGCATGCTTAATAAAAATGCCATAGGCCGGGTGCCCCAATGTTCCAAATGTCACGAATGAGTGTAGCATTCCTTATGTTACCTCGCGTTGCCCCTCCGATATAAACCCCCAAGCGGTTTCCATTTAGTTTTTCCAAACCCCATGCTGATGTTTGAGTCTGTCTGGACGGGACCAACATCTATAAAAAAATTTATGTTTACTTTTTCAGTGCTCTGGATACTGTCCTTTTTGCTTTCAAGCGCCGTTGCGCTCACATACCGATTAGACACATCGTACTCTGGGAGGAAATTCTTTGATGGTTTGATTTCTTTACCGTAAGTCGAGATTTCCTCAGAGTTCTGATATCAGGTCATCCTACTTCTTCAATTTTGCTCTTTACACTAACTATCTGCAGGACCCCGATCCAACTCATGGATTGTAACGTATGACAGGATAAGTTGCCATCTTTATGGCTTGACTAACAATAGCATAGATATGTATCCAAACCCGAAGCTTCGAGACTTGGACTTTCCGGTGTCTCTCAAAACGGTGCAACATATCTTCGGGTCGATTATTGGTCGAAACTAAACCCGGCTGGTGCTGGAAGAAAGAGTGTTCGGATAACTTCGAAGAAATCATGGACTCATGGACTCTTCGTTGCGGATATTGCCCATATGCCGGGTGGAATTTGTGGGACTTGGCCTGCGTGTGAGTCTTTCTATCCTGCTAAGGGAAACCATTGCTTACACTAGGGACAGGGTGGAAACTTGGACCTAATTGGCCCAACAATGGTGAGATTGATATTATTGAGGGTGTTAACAGTAACAGCAAGAATACTATGGCTCTACATACGTAAGTTTGATGCTTTCATAGGTAATATTGACAGCTAATCCTTCGTAGATCTGCGAACTGTCGCATGACTCCAACCCATCAGCTCGGCACGCCGCAAGATACCAATTGTGATGGCACTACAAACAGCAATGCTGGTTGCTCAGTTCGCTCAACCAGCAAGTTGACTTATGGAAATGATTTCAATGCCATAGGCGGTGGTGTATATGCCAGTGCGTATCCGTTCCTACTATACTATCAAGCTTGATACTGATTCCGAACCAACAGTGGAATGGATGTCGCAAGACATCAAAATCTGGTTCTTCCCGAGAGGTGGTATTCCAAGAAACCTTCAGAGTGGTCGACCGGATACGAAGGACTGGGGAACTCCACAATCGTATTACACGGGAAATTGTAACATCGATTCACATTTCAAGGGTCATAATATTGTGTTTGATACTACGTTCTGTGGTGATGTGAGTTATTGTTTCCCGCACAAATTCTCAGTTGCGATGGTTACTGATTTCATGAATCTAGTGGGCAGCTAATGTCTGGTCATCTGATCCTACTTGTTCGAAATTAGCACCGACTTGCAATTCCTATGTTGCTAACAATCCGTCGGCTTTCAAAAATTCGTAAGCTTCCGTGTTCTTGTTCCTGTCCTCCTAGATCTCATACTTACATCCATATTCCAGATGCTGGTCTGTAAACTCTGTCAAAGTCTACACATCCACCGCATCAAGCCCCGGTCGCGAAAGATATTAGGGGTTTTCAAAACCACTCCTATCCTCCCAATGGAAGTAGAAAGCGCCCTCCCACCTCCTGAAGTTCGCCTCTCCTCCTCCTTGAGGATGTATGCTTTCCGTCTACTCAAACTCTCACCATCACACCCAGTCAACCACGCTATCGACAAGCTCCTCAATACTCAAGCAACTCCAAGGAAAAAGAAGCCGGCAACTCCTCAACTACAGCGAATCCACCGCTCTATTAGCAACTTATACAACCTTGAAGACCTTGAGCAAATACACCACTTCCACTTCCCTCCATGGGAAAGAGAAACTCCTTACAAGGTTCACATTAGCAAACTTTCAAAAGAAGAGGAAACTAAACTTCACCTTCGTCTACTCCAAAACAACTCAGATAACAGCATTTTCATCTACACAGATGCATCCTCTACAACAACAGAAAATAGCCAAGGAATTGGGGTAGGTTTGTCTGTAATCTCACCTCAATCAAACAGAATCCACTACGAAAAGAAAGTCAACATTGGACCAAACAAGCTCGTCTACAACGGTGAAGTTGAAGGGGCCACGCTAGCAGTTGAATACGCTGCCAAGCACGCTAGACCAGGGATCCATTTCCACATCTACTCCGACAACCAGGCAGGTTTACGGAGGCTAAAAACCACATCAGATAACCCAGGGCAAGAGTGCCAAATCAGAGCTATCACAGCTGCCCGGAAGGCAGTTAGCAAGGGAGCTACTACCACAATTCACTGGGTACCAGGTCACACCGACATTCCAGGAAATGAGAAAGCAGACAAGCTTGCAAAAGCCGCCACCACAATCCAACCATCCACTCAACTCACTAGCTTTGCTATGCTAGGAGTCAAGATCAGGCAGACCCAGAACAAAGAATGGCGTCAAAAGCTTACTACACCCCCCCGGCACACAGAACCATCAACTAACCAACACTCGTATCGAAGGGAATTCCCATGGAAGATTCTGTCGAAACCTTGCGTCCCCCAAGGAACAAAAAGAGAGATAGCCAGCGCCTTTTATCAGCTTAAGCTAGGCCATGGATACTTCAAATCATACCTACACAAGCTCGGCCACACTACCAACAACCGCTGTAGATGTGGAAGACAAGAGACTCCCACTCACCTCCTTCTTAGCTGTCCAGAAACTGGGGATGCTAGGAAAGTACTAAAGCGCAACCTCCTCAAGCATCATATTCGAGAGTTCACCATGAAATCCCTCCTTCACACCGCCAAAGGAGTCGAGGCCACACTTGACTTTATTCGAACCACCAAAATCGCCACTAGAATATGGCACACACAACGCGCAACTGAGGATGAGAACGAAGATGAGGACGAGGAAGACGAGGACGAGGAAGACGAGAACGAGGAAGTGTAGCGTACAGAGCGTGAAACGAGGGGGCGTACTACAACATAACAACTTTTCTTTTGTCATAACCAGAAGCCTAGCTGCTTCCAACAACCCAAGAACTGTAATGACCATAACCCCCTTCTCAAACATGTATTTAGTACAGCTTTACTCATCTGTTGGAGGGAAACCCCCAGCCGTGCTACTATAGTCTCAGACTCACACAGCACGTTAAAAGGAATAATAATAATAATAATAATAATAAGCCCCGGTCGCTTCTTTGCCAAGAACGAGTCTGAAGGCGTCGCACAAGATCTCACTGAACAAGTCGCTACAACTGTCACAGAGTCAGTGCAAATAGCAGCTGAAGCAACAGGTTCATTTGGAAGCGCCCCGACAGCTGATGACTTGGAAAACATCGATGTCATTCCCGAATTGGCTGGAAAAGCCAATGGAGGTAGCGACGAGACAGGTACTCCCGTTGACATACCAGAGCCTTCTCAGACCATCATCGGATACGAGTTCATAGATGCTTATGGGCCAACCCACACATTCGACGAACCAGCGTTCAAGAAAATTCGGCGGGGACTTGTCAAGAGCGACGAGGCATACTTTGAAAAAGTAAAGCCGGCCCTCCACACAATGACACCCTCTGATCGCGAGGTCCTGGAGGATGATATCGCTGCTGTTCCTCGGAAATCCAGCAAAACTGCAGATGGTGCTCGTAAGCCCACAAGCCAATTTGGGGACTTCTTAAATGAGCCCACGGATGAATATTCGGATCTCTTTCCAACGACGCTTGAGGATCCCGAGGGCCAAAGTGCGAGTGAAGCTGGTGATGAAGATCCCGAACAGTCTGACACCCCGAAAAAGAAAGCAGATGAGATCAACGATAGCAAAGCTTCTGCAGCCCTCGAGGAAGTGAAGGGAGACCTTGATGTTCTTGGGGATCTTAAGAGTCTTAAGGGCATTTTCAAGAAAGAGCGACGAGGACTTGTTTTGGAGAACGATGAAAGCACTATTTCGGTCGGGAATCGTGTGAACCTTGAGCACGCCTTCCTTGATTCATCTCAGGACCACGATCAGGCACCACGCAGGCCGACGGCCGATTTTGGCGATCATTTTGAGTGACCTGCGGATCAATATTTGAATACCTTTGATGAGCCTGTTATCAAGACGCAACCCGAAAATGACGGGTCGCGGTATAGAGTCGACGAGGCTCTTCTTCCAATCGCCATCCCTCCCATTCCTCAGCCAACTCAGGAAGGCATTGAAGATCGACAAGAAGCTGTAGAAGCTCAGGCTCTGGCGGGGCAATTGGCACCCTTTGAAGACTTTGGTCTTTTCAAAAAGAAGCGAAGAGGATTTGTTCTGGGTCACGGTGCAAACGATGTGGAAGCAAATCCATCGTTACATACGGCCCAGGAAAAATATGCTGATATTTTGGATGCTGATGCCGTGAACGACAGGCTTTCGGAACATACTGATACAATTTTATTCCCAAATCCTAGACCTTTTTTAGAGCCGGCCTTCCAGACAGCTGCAGAAAAGTCAAACGAATTTGCAGGTCAACCACAGGATGGAATCGCAGAAGCCTTCGAGAAGGGATCTGATACTGGTCTTGTCGACCTCAAGAAAGAGCGACGGGCGCTTGTTTTCGGCCTCGATGAGGATCTGAAAGACGTAAAAGATGAAAAAATTGCCCCTGAGATTGATCACGCGAACATTCATCGGAGACCCCTTGTACAGTCGGAAGTCGAAACCATAGCGGAAGAAGAGATGGAAGACAACCCTTCTGCCTTCGTCCTCCCCCCACAAGACGACTATCTGATCGCAGTGGAACAACAAGTAGCAGAAGAAACCCAAGAAACCCAGGAGGAATCCGGTATCCTTGGAGCATTTGGTGGCATTCTGAAGAGAGAGAAACGTGGATTCGTCTTCGGCCACGGTGGATTCAAACTTCCCGTTGATACTCAGTCCCCTCCAGAGACAGATGCGCAGAGCAGGAGACATAAACTTCCTGCTGAATCTCTCGATGAGCGTCTCGAGGACCCTGATCAGTCAAGTCAAATGGATAATTTCGATCCCAACTTGCCTGCAGAACCGAGATTCCAGAGCGACATGGAAGGCGTTGACGGTGGGGAGTATGCGGATGAGTGGCGGTGGTTCTAGCGACCAGCAAGGAGAGCCGGAATTCAGTGACGATACAGAAGGCCTTGGTCCTCAAGATGATGTTGATTCTCCAGGTGATAATACAGGGGAGTCTCGATACCCGCCAGCAGCGCCGCGATTCAGAAACGACCCGGAAAACCTTGGTCCTCAAGACACCGTAGATTCTCCAACTGACAACACTGGTGAGTCTCAAGATCCGCCAGTGGAGCCACAATTCAGGCAGAACTTGGAAAGCGTTGGAGACGCCAACGAGTCTCTGGATAAAAGTCTCCAGAATTCCACTCAGACACTACGCGAACCATATTTCAAGAACACCACGGAAGCCGTTGCTAGTGCCACTGAAATTCTGGATCAAAACATTGAAACAGCAGTAATGTTGGAAGCGACACAAGTTGTGGACAATCTTGGTCCTACAAACTCGAACCTTCCAGTCCCAACAATTAAACGACGACGATTAATCGACGAGGACCGATTCTACAACTACCCAGAAGCAAGGCAGTCCAAACTCGACGAATCAGAGACCCAACAATTACGAGGCGAGCTCACCGCGGGAGAAAACAAGCTCACCAAAGGAGACAAAGACGAACTTGATAGACCCGATCAAACCAATTTCGACGAGTTCCTCAACGGTCACATGCCAGACAGGACTAAAATCCAACCAAAAAAGGAAGATGATTTCGACGAGGATGAGCCTGTGCAAGGATTTCCAATCAAGAAGTTCTCGAATAAAATGAAGAAGGCCATCTCCGTCATACCAGAGAATAAAGTTACCACGGGCGAGCCAGTTCCTACGATACGTCGTGAGATCCATCACGAGACCCAGGTCGTCTCGCGTAATGTTCACAAGGAGATATATATCGTGAATGGGACTCCTGTTCCCACACCACCTCGCTTGCGTCGTCCACCTTTTGACGTCGACGATTACAATGAGGATGAGGATGATGGGAGTGATGGGAGGATACCACGTGCTTGGCTTCGCGACTCAGCTGGTGTCATTGGAAAGCGAGAGGAGAATGAAGATGCTGCTCAAAATGTGGAGAAGCTTAATATTCCTCTCTTGAATGGTGGGATTGGTGCAGGATTGGGTCTCGACCTCGGGCTTGGATTAGGATTAGGCACGCCTCAAGGGCGAGTCGTTGATGCGTACTTGGGTGCTGCTGCTACTGCCACAGTAGGATTGGGGGGTCCACAAGGACGAATTCTCGATGCTGGACTTGATACTGCTGCCACTGCAACATTGGGACTGGGTTCTTCGCATGGCTTGCCTCTGGAAGCAGCTGCGAATGGACTCATTGACGACGCCGCTTCTTTGCTAAGAACGCCTGAAAACCAGGGGACTCCGACTACCGAGGAGGAAACTCCATCCCGACGGGTTGGGTCCATTGGTAGCGTCGTAAATGATCCCTCTCTTGACCCTGCGACCCACGGGCTCCCCATCGGATTCGAATCTGACGGACTGGTTGACGGAGCGGAACCAAATCAGAATGCTCAGCAACCAAATAGTGCCTCGAGGATTGCCGGTGGAGCGGGTCTAGGAGGGGCAGCTTTGCTCGAAGGGAACAACAACAACCAAGGATTTGGCTTGGGTGCCGCGGGAGTCTTTGGAGGGGCTGCTTCGCTTGAAGACAATTCTAACAACCAGGGGTCTCAGATTATTGGTGGTGGTTTGGTTGGTAGTGCTGCTTCTCTTGAAGGTTAGTTGTTACGTTTCTCAGTTTTAAAAATTCTCTTCTCACGCTGTGTACACGACTTGTTGGATTCTTTTGTCATTTGCCAAATAGTGGCCATTGTTCCAGAAAGTTGGATTAATCGAAAATTGAACTTTTTGATTAATTCAAGTTTTTGGAATAATCAAGAGCTAGATTGTTCATTTCATCCAACCATTTGGAATACTTTCAAATGATCCGATGATCTAGCATTCGTGTACTCACATAGCAGAGAAGGAGTGACATCACCAGGTCCCTTAAATTTTTAGTCTCAATTTACTAAATTTACGACAGGCTTGAATCTACCCAATGTCGTTTGGAACTCCCAATACTGGTGATGGAATCCATGGATTGCCTATTGATAGCCTCGTTGACGGGGCAGAATACTTGGGAAGCGAGCAACCAAGCAACACGGTGCCTCTTACGGGCTCTCAAATCAGCGCTGCTGGTGGGTTAGGCGGGGCAGCCACTTTGGAGGGGTCTGATAATGGTCAAGGGCCTCAAATTGGTGCTGCGGGTGGGCCAGGCGGCGCTGCAGCCCTGGAGGCATCAAACAATCGAATTGGTGGTGCTGGAGCGTTGGGAGGCGCGGCATCGCTTGCAGATACGAATAATCCGCTATCCAACTCAAATTCTGCGCCTGAAATTGGAGTAGGAGGTTTGCTTGGTGGAGCAGCATCTTTGGAGGGACTCCCAGTCACGAATAACCCAGTATCGAGCACGGGTTCTCAAATCGGTGGCGTGGGACAAGTTGACGGCGAAGGTTTGCCTGGGGGCTTGAATAATCCCTTGTCGGGCTCAAATCCTCGAATTGGTGGAAGTGGAGTTCTTGGGGGAGGGGCATCCAACAATCCTCCAGGCAGCTCTAATGGACTTCTTTCAGATACCATTACGGGACTTGGACTCGGAAACCTTCTAGGCGGAGGCTCTACAAATCCCTGAGTTGCCAACAATCCGCAATCAGGAACAGGACTTGGATTAGCCGCTGGCTTGGGTCTCGGAGCTGTGCTGGGAGGAGGTTTGACGAACCCACAAGAAGCTAATAACAATCAACCTGCAGCGGGGATTGGCGCAGCCGCCGGTCTTGGATTGGGATTGGGCTTGGGGGGTGGATCGTCCAATTCTCAACCCAACTCACAGCCTCGAACCGGTACGAATGATGTTATCGGCGAGATTGTTCCGTTGGAAAGTGGCAGCAACATACCGTCTGGGTCAGCCCCTTCGCTTAACGACGCTGGTGTGCTTGGCGGAGGAGCACCTTTATCGGGACTCAACGGTGTAAATAACGCCATTGGTGCTGCCGGAGGCCTTGGAGGCGGTGCATCTTTGGGAGGGGGATCCAATGGTCCTTCTCAATGGAATAGTGGACTTGATGTCGCTGGCGGCCTTGGAGGTGGTGCAATCTTGTCAGGAGTCAACACCCAGAACCCCAGGCTACCTGGAAACGGTGAAATTAATGGCACCCCTCCTACTGAATCTAATCAACAGCCTTCCGGAAACATCCTATCCTTTGGTTAGGCACTGGAGTGGGCGCCGAAGTTTCTCTGCCCAATCTTCCGATTGTTGGTGGATTGGATGCGTCACTGGGTGTCGGTTTGGGCGCTGTTTTGGGTGGTTCAAATGGAAATGATCCTCCTTCCAACACGGGGTCTACAAGCACACCCATCATTGGAGGAGGGAATGGAGATTGTTCCTCGCCAAGGCAGAATACTGGCAATGGTGTTTTGGACGGACCAAATCCAAACTCCGTTGTCACGTCAGGAGAAGATGTTGTGAACTCTGGACTCGGAGCAGCGGCGGGTCTGGGCCTTGGCTTGGGTTTAGGAGGATCAGGACAACCGACTACTCTTCCTAGATTGCCTTTGGGAGGTGGTTCATTGCCGTCGAACAATGAGAATGGGGGTTTGGATGTACTGAATCCAAACAATGTTATCAGGTCAGGAGAAGATGTTGTAAACTCTGGACTCGGAGCGGCGGCAGGTCTAGGGCTTGGCTTGGGTTTAGGAGGATCAGGAGAATCTACTTCTCTACCTAACACACCATTGGGAGGTGGTTCATTGCCGCCAAACGAGAACGGGAGATTAGGCGTACTGAATCCAAACAATATTATCGGGGCAGGACAAAATACTGTCAATTCCGGCCTGGAAGCGGCAGCGGGCCTAGGGCTGGGTTTGAATTTAGGAGGATCAGGCCAGCCTAATTCTCTTCCTCGCTTGCCTTTAGGAGATGGTTCTCTGCCGTCAAATAATGAGAATGGGGGGTCGTACGTACTCAATCCAAATAACATGTCGGAACAGGACAAGATGTTGTGAACTCAGGCCTTGATGCGGCAGCTGGTCTAGGACTCGGATTAAACTTAGGAGGATCCAACCGACCTATAACCCCTCCAACTACGCCTTCGGAGGGCAATACCGGAATCGATACAAACGCTGGCGTTGGCATCGGTGGAATACTAGGTGAAATAACAAGACCCAGCTCAATACCTCGCACTGGATTGGGATCTCAACCCAACACTGGAATTGGAGCCGCGGCGGGTCTTGGTCTCGGGTTGGATTTAGGAGGCTCCGAACAGCCCACCTCTACTCCTAATACCCCTTCTGAAGGTGATACTGGGATTGATACGAACGCTGGACTTGGACTTGGTGGGATATTAGGTGGAATAGCAAGACCTAGCTCGACTCCTCGTACTGGACTAGGCTCCCAAGGAAACACTGGCCTCGGCGTAAATGCTGGAGTTGGTGTCGACACGAATCTTGGGGGAATCCTCAATCCGCCCACTGGAAGCAATACGGGCCTTGACGTGAATGCTGGAGTTGGTCTTGATACAAACATTGGAGGAATCCCTAGTACGCTTTCTGGGAGTGATACCGGAATCGATGCGAACGCTGGACTCGGAATTGGGGGCATAATAGGTGGAACCACAATACCTACCTCAATTCCTCGTACCGGTCTAGGCTCACCAGGCAACACTGGTCTAGGCGTAAATGCCGGCGTTGGAGTAGATGCCAATCTTGGAGGAACTAATAAGCCTTCAAGAAGTAATGCAGGACTTGACGTCAACGCTGGAGTCGGCATTGGAGTGGGATTGGGAACCAACATACCTGATGTATTACCTGGTGGAATTGAACATGGGTTTGGGATTCCTCGAGGAGACGGAAGAGACAATGTAACTGATCCAGTCGGCGGTAACGGAATACCTCCAGGGGGGACAAATACCAGAGGTAACCCAGGCAACGGAAACGGAATCCCTTTGGGTGAAGTTATAGACGGCATTGGAGCTGCGATTGATCCTGTGATTGGGATACTGGAAGGACAAGGGACAGGAGGAGGTATTCCATAAGGATCAACAAACGGAAACAACCCTCAAGCCACCAGTATTCCCCAGAGTGGAGGAGGCGGAACGAATAACCCAACGAAGAGTGGAACGAACGTGGGAAACAATCCGGGGACAAATACAGGAACCAGCACTTTAAGCAATCCAGGAAGTGGCAACGGTATTCCTCCAGGAGGCAACAGCGGACAAACAAACGTGCCGGAGACTTCGTCTGTTTTCGATCCTGGATTTGGCTTGCCTACCAATGGAAATTCGCCTTCATCTAAGATAAGTAGAACAAGGACAAGGAATCCAAGGCCAGCAACTGGTACTAGAAGTCTTAGATCTTCGTCCACTACGACAATTTCAGACAGCGAGCCACCAGCAACAAGCTCTTTTATCGACATCGAGGGTGTCGGTAGTGGGATACAAGGCAAACGACGTCTAAGACCAACAACTTCCCTGCCGGAAAGTGCAATCCGCAGCCCTACACTTACACTTTCGGATAGCGTTCCATCAGCCACTACCTCGTTTAGCGAAAGCCAGAATGTTGGTGGTGGAGTACAAGGCGAACCTCGCCTTAGAAGTACATCAACTGCGTCTGAAACTAGAATCCCCACGATACTTTCTCCTTCATCCTCAACCAGAACAAGGCGCTTTAGACCAAGTACTGCTACAAGACGTGTTAGGCCATCATCGTCTTCTACCCTATCAGAAACTGATCAGCCCTCTACTACCTCTTTTAGCGAGATTCAGAATGCTGGTGGCGGGGTACAAGGTACACCTCTTTCGGGAGCATCAACAGCACTCCCGGGTTTCGAGAGTTCAAACTCGACACCGTCAGTCAGTGAGCCAGCTGCCACTACCTCTTTCAACAACATTGAAAGTGCTGGGGGTGGTGTACAAGGCATACTCCGCTTACGAGCCTCTAGCACATCCTCTGACTCTGGAACTTTAAACCCTACGCTATCGTCTCCTACAAGAACTAGAACTAGGCGTCTTAGAACATCCTCTGACTCTGAAACTTTGAACCCTACGCTATCAAGTATCCAGCCACCAGCCACTATGTCTTTCAGCGATATTCTCAACGTCGGTGGTGGAGTACAAGGCGAGCCACGAATACGCCCAAGTTCTGACTCCGAATCAGCTACCAGGGTGCCTTGTGTAGAGACTACCAATCTTTCTTGGTAGAGAAGCAGGCCGTTGCGAAAGTTCTCTCTCTTCGCTATCTTCTGCCACAAGAACTAGAACTAGGCGTCTTAGAACAAGCTCCGACTCCGGGACTTTGAACCCTACGCTATCGATCAACCAGCCAACAGCTACTGCCTCTTTCAGCGAAATCGATGAAATTGGTGATGGAGTTCGTGGCGAACCTGGGGAGACTCTAAGCTACGAGACAATATCAACTGATGAGCCGCCCCTGACTACATCCTTCGATGTCATCGTAAATGTTGACGACGGAGTACGCGGTGAGCCACGTCAGCGGGCCACTTTCACTACGAGCCCAATTGTGACTACATCGTCATTGGATAACCAGGAACCTGATACGACCTCTTTCAGCAATATTGAAAACGTTGGTGAGGCCGTTCGTGGCGCTCCTCGTGTGCGCTTCACCGTGACTGATATTCCGAATACACCATCGTCATCAGATGATCAGACACCTACCACGACCCCGTTCAGCGAGGTTCAAAATGTTGGTGGGGGCGTTCAAGGTGCCCCCGTCAGCGAGGAGGTCAAACAACGAGCTCCAGCACGACCGTGCAAAGCGAGGGCAGTGTACAAGGAGGAGACCATCCAGTCCCTACCGGAGACGACGGCTCTACCACGTTTGTGCCTCCTGAGGCTGACAATGGCCCTCGTCCACCTAGGGGCGACGGAAGACAACCTGGAGGACAGGATTACAATCCACCAGATTCTACAGATGGACGTCAGCCGCCAATTATTGATGATGGAAGCAGTGAAGGCGAAGATGAAGACATGACAGGAGGCGGAAGGCCGAATAGAGGCGATAATGGAAGGGTACCACCGGGGAGCAGCACTGAAGAAGAAGAGACTGGAGAAGAAGAGGACGAGGGCACAACAATTCTACCACCTTTCGATGATTCTGATGATAAAGATACGGATGGTGGTCAATTTATCACAAATGGAGGACGGCCAAACCGTAGAGATCGTATGAACAATCATGACTCTACCGATGGACGTCAAATCATCGATTCTGATGAAAATGATGGGGATGTAGACGGTGAACAAGTTATCACAAATGGGGGAAGGCCAAACGATGACGATGATCCGAGACACTATCATGACTCAGCTCCAGGACGTCAATCAATTGATACTGATGTCGGCGGTTATGAGGAAGACGGAGATATCACGGGCCATGGTTATCCGTCTGACTTCCATAGACCAGGCAATTTTTATGGACCTCGGCCAGGCAGCGATACCCAGGACGAGGACGATAAGGAAGAAGAAGATTATCATCGGAATGGAAACCTAACTTGGTATGATCACTCAAGTAGTCCCCCATATTCTGCCAAACCTGGAGTTTACTACCCACCCGACGATGGGGCTCACGTGGGTGATGATGGATTTGATGAACCAGAGGGCCCAAGTTATCAAAATCCTCCCTTGAGGCCATTTGAACGGCCCGATGAAATTGGTGAAAGCGAAGTTCAGGAGGTTGGTAGACAAGATGAATCACACTTACGTCCTTCACCTGAATTTGTCGGTGAGGACGATGGAAGCCGCAACCCATTATTTGGCGAGTCCGACTTCTGGGACGATGAAAATAGAGTAGGACAAGGTCAACAAAGACCGCACATCTATGTCAATCCTTACCGAGGACCCGAGTCCGAGGGTTCTCATGAGGCCTCAGAAGAACCGGACGAGGCGTATGGTGGGCTCCATGGCGATGAGAACCAAGAACTGTATGATGGCTCCGATCGCCAGTCACGTGAGTTCGGCCACAATTCCCATTCATTTGAGGATGATAAGAGCAAAAATCCTCCTCATTACTCTTTTCCTTCCGATTTGCCCTTTGTTGAATCGCATGAGGAGACAGACTCAGAATATCGTCATGGCCGTTACCCTTCATTCGAGAATGGCGAGGATGAAAGTACCCATGATTACTCTTACCCTTCTGGTTTGCCATTTATTGACTCTCCAGAGACAGAATCAGAACATCATTATGGCCATTCACATGAGAGCTCAAAGGGAAGCTCAGAATATGGGCATAGCGGGTACGATAGTGAGCATGGCGAAGGGCAGACTGGATCTGAATTTGAGCACAATCACGGATGGCATCAAGATGAGGATTCAGAATGTCACGGAGAACATTGCAACGGCGGAAAAGAACATGGAGAGGAAGATAGCGATTGGGGGAGGCCAGACCACCATAAAGACGAATATTGTCACGATAGAAAATGCGAAGATGACCATGAGAATGACGGGTTTGAAAAGCCTCACGATCATGAACATGGCGCCTGGAATCACGATTCCAATGGAAGCCACCCGCCAGAATCAGACAAAGTCAAACACCACCCAGAACACCACGAAGTACACGAGTATTATACCACTATTCTAACTAGTAAGTCGTTGGTCCTCGTCTAATTATGAACATATGCTAACCATATGTAGCCACCTACGTCGATCTTTGTACATGTGCAGAGAAAAGCTTGGAAAAATTTACTCATACGACCACCATTGAAGTCTGTGACTGCGAGTACCCCAAGAACCCTCCAATGACGCGCATTCATAATCAAGTCAACAAGACCGAGGTACAGACCCCTGAATGCCCGATGACAACTGTTACCAAATCCTGCAACGCTTGTTGACCGGCAAAGGAAAACACAATTATCGTCACCATTCCCCAAAAGCCAGGTCTTCATGTTCCCAAAGAGACATGACATTCGCATCCAACTCCCGAACACCAGCGAGGAGATCGACAGCATACGCATGAAGGAACTGATTCTTCTGAGCACCATGAGACATGCGAAGATGACAGTTGTGAGGAAGAAACTTTTACTTCCCAGGAGCCGGACAGGCAGTGCGAGGTTCCAGAATGCAATAAAGAAACTCCGAAATCGACTACGGAAGAAGTTTGTGATGGAGAGTCTTGCAAAGAAGACACGTCCAGTCTTAGAACACCAGGTAAAGGTTGCGAGGGAGAAGACTGCACAAAAGAGAGAAAGCCAACCAAGCACTGTGAGGGAGAAGATTGCGAAGAAGGATCATCAACCTCACGAACTCCGGGAAACGTATGTGATGGAAATAACTGCGAAGAACAACCACAAGGCTCTCCCAAGCCAGGACAGAACTGCGAAGGGGACGAGTGCAACAGTAATAGTATACCACTATATCCAATCTGCCAAGGGGACGACTGCAAACGCAAATCCAGCAACTCATCAAAGATATTGCACATCTGCGAAGGAGAAAATTGCAAGTCCCAACCACCCGCAGACACAGCACCATCACCAACGACTTCAAATACGAACTCGGGTGTATGCGGGGAAGCTGGATGCTCCAATAGCACCAATCCCGGGTCTTCAGACAACAAAAACGCACCCTTAGAACCTGCAAACTCGGAACCAACAGAAGCGACCGTTGCAACGGTATCTTCGAGTACGAAATCGCATATCCCCGGTCAGACAATCGGTTTTGCTATTGTTGTCACCGCCCTGCTTTGTTGGCTTTGAAGTTGAGACGAATTTTACTATTGTATGTTTTTTGCCACTCGGGTCTGGGATTTTATGATTGAAATGGTTTTATGGGTTGGGCAGTCTGGTTAGGAAGGAAAATGAATGGGATTGAGAAGGCTGGATTAGCTGAAGGATAAAAGCGGGGCGTTATTTCTCGGTTGTTTTACCCCTGAATCACGTGTTTATTACTTATTATGTAGACTTAGGTAGCCCATCAATGGAAGAGTTTTCGTTTTTCTGATTCTCCAATTTTGAATGTTGTGGGCGGTGTTACTTTCTGTTTCCTGTGTCTTGTCCATGTTGTTTAATTTCCTGTAATTTCGCGCATTAGGATCCACGTGGTTCGCATGCTATTCACCTTCACCTCGGGGAGTGGCGGAATGAGGCAGTTCTTGGAATATTGTAGCTGTTTCTTGGAAGCTGTGTACCACCAGCCTTTTGCGACAGAAGACAACATTCAACAATATCACCCAACAACCGATCTAAGAGCATCCTCTTACTGACACATCAACCGGGTCACTGCGAATACACTTTCAGTCTTTCTTGCTATCATGGCGCCCGAGAAGATGAATATCTCTCCCTCCAACCGCTCCTCCCCCAAATATGTCAAGCAACGCCAGTCGTCCGATCCATGTAAGTAGAACTTCACGTCGCTCCTCCGACGCGCTACAAGACTAATCACACCAAAGTCCGCAAACAAAAGCAAAGAAACCGCCACTCATATGTCATGTCACCCGCAGCATCATCCCTACCCACCGAAGGCCGTCTAGGACAAAACATCTACGGTATGATACCCCCAGTACCATCTGGCCAGAGCATCTTCACCATGAGCTCGATGGCAATGGAAGTCGACGATCTCTCACCCGCAATAACCGAGACCTACGAGACAGAAAAGGCCTTCGCGGTTCCTGTCGCAAAGCCTAAGAACCAAGAGGTTAAGCTTGTCAAGTTGCCTCGAGAGTTGAAAGCACAGCAGAGCCGTGAGAACTCTGGACGGCGGAGCAGAAACACAAAGTCCTTGACGACCGGGGACCCAGAATCCGCTCATGACGCAGACGTGGAATGGGAGGAAGAGGCAATGGGACAGGAAGCGAAGAAGAAAGAGCGGATACGTAGCTTGGCATGTCTGGAGGGTGCGCGCGATCCCTTGATTTTGGACGCCGACTTCAATTCCCCAGCTTCTCATAAGTCAGCGAACGGAAAGCCCGAAAAGACTTCCGTCTTCGCGGAGACAAAGTACTATCAGTTATGGGTCGAACAAAAAATGCAGACCGAACTGCGGAAAGACATCCAGAAGTCCGCTTGCGAGGAAGCAGCCCGCGAGCAAGCTCGAGCAGATGCCGCCGAAGCTCTACTAAAGACCGAAAAGGAACGGGTTGATAAAGAGGAAGCGCGTGCGAATGCTGCGGTGAGAGAGGTTGTTCAAGCTGCCTTGCGCGTTTCGGAACTCCAGACTCGTGTTGCGGAATTGGAAAAGGTGTTGGAGCAGTCTGGAAATGTTCCGCGGAGAACTCAGGATGTTGGCCGTCCCATTGCTAAGCCTCGTGGTAAAGGATGGTTCTTCTCCTCTGGAAACTAGACGAAGGACTGTGAGAGCTTTTCAGAGGTCGTCTTGTGGACTTCTGCATGCATTGTATGAGGCGTGATCATGGTGGGGGTAAGGTTGGAGAATGTTCCTTATTTTATTTTGCACGGGTCTCCTTCATGTTTGTGTTGGCTTTGGTGCTTGTGGAAGGAAAGTCTTGCGAATGCTTTTACGTATTGAGGAAATGGTCTAATGGCAAAATGGCGGGCGGCTCTGGATTTCTCTTCAGGACCTTAATGTTGTCTGGATCGATGAATGGACGGAGTGGGTACTTTCTATCTTATTTTCATAGGGTCTTCTTACTCTAATTTGACGGCACGAGATTGTGAAAGTCTCTCGGGTCAAGCGAGAATAGTAGTTGAATGAAGGAAATGACTTTTTCTTAAAAATATTCTTGAGCTTGAGTCCACGCATGCTGTGATATCGGTGATTGATGACTGCAACAGACTACCTTTGCTTGATATAGTGCCACAAAAGATACAAAATGTCCAGTGGCAGTAGTACTAAGCCTGACAGAAGTAGTGGCTCCTCTCATCATACTATCAACAGTAATTATGCTTAGCAAGAGCTTCAAGACCTCGATCTTTGCGAGTTCTCTCAAGTAGACCTAGGATTCAGTATCTTGTTCAACGTGCGTTTCTGGCTAACAGATTGGCAATATGAAATGTACCTCCACTAAAGTACTCAGATAGGATTTGATGCCCAGTTTCAAGCATTTCCATATCTTATATCTACTAGAAAGGTAATAAGAAATTCAATATTCTCTAAGAAAGGAATGAATAGAATGCTATGTTTAACCTACTTATAGCACAGTGTTAATAGTAAAGCTCTAGAGAAATTAATATGCTTGGCAAAAAGCAAAGGTAGAGAGACCTATGTATTCAACCAAAGTTCTGAATATTTGCACCCTAACATTTTATTTGGCTAGTTAACAGCTTTCAGAGAGCAGTATTTCATCAGAGATGACCTAGCGAGCTCCCGTTTCAAATGCTCTTTAAATATCTCTGCTTCGGTTACCGCAGGTCATACCACCCAGCCGCTCAGCCGTCCAGGAACCCAAGGACGGTGAAGAGAAAGGCTTCGTCTTGGGAAAACTTCGCTTCAATCCTCCAGAGACGCCTCAAAAATCAATTGTACTGGAAGCTTACAAATAATCAATTTAATTGTCCCAAATGACCTGGACTAAGAAAGATTTGTGGATTCTGATTGTTCTAAACTTCATGTAGAACTATTTCACCTGTGTGAGGCTTTGAGGATAATGTTGCTCTAGCCTATGTAATCGAGTTCATGGCGGAATCTCTTGAATTAGCGGAATCGGCTCCGTGTACTTGCTATACTCAAAGATATTGCATAAGTCTTACTTGCTGGTGACATTGCTGGCATGCAAAGTTTCGCCAGGCTGTTGTACTAGTGAATACCCGGGGTACTCGAGTACCGGAATGGTAGAAAAGAAGGTGAATTCATGTAAAGAGTGGTTGTAAGTACGAAGTATAGGACTGGGCACTACTCACGCAAGTGTACTATTTTTAGCATTGAATGATAGCAAGTGTGTATAATCTTACATTGCGGGGTGTGCGGGGTTAAATACCCGAAGTGAATTGAATGAAATGAAAATACAAAACGAGTGTCCTGGATTCAGGCTTATGAAATCCACAAGAGGCCAGTTGATCAATGGATAGAGATCGGTGAATTTGACCAGATGCTCACCAAATTATGCCTGAGGTAATCAAGCTCGACAGCTGACTGGTAACGGTGCCTTGCCGTACTTTTGGATACGGTGCTGAAGCTGTCATTTCCGATCTCGCGGATTCTCGACATCCATTCAAGGAAGGAAGAGTTCCAATTTACTATTGTGGATGATATCCCAAGATGACATGGGTACCCCAACGAATGCTACAGTGTCACGTGAACGGCTCCCCTATCCTCCGTAACCCGATGCATTCAAGAACTGCAGCGTTGAGCGATGAAAATGGTCCACGTTTGTGTCTGTATTTAGGCTAGATATTTGCAGCAGATTTACGTAGACTGTCCCTGAGACGTGCCTGAGCTGAGTTGCCAAGCTACCAGTAAATAATTGGAAATTAGGCCTGATACCTTGACAGACATACCAACTCCGTAGGTAAGTAGGTAATCATATGCAGGATGGGAGGTGAAGCTGACCTTCACGATTGCGGGCCCTTCACGTGAATTTCATCAGTCACTAGTGCGGGGTCGTTGCCGTCCCAACCACCGTCAGAGTATTTGAAGTGCTCTGCCCCCTCCGCGGCAGACTCCTCCTTCTTCCCTCTTTAACTCCTTCAACTCTCTCCAAGGCCCCCACGACAATCCACTTCAGGGCTGGACGACCCCTCCTGGGATGAGGCTAAAAGCATCCGTCATCATTGTTAGAGTCTTCGTTTTGTTGGGACGTCTTTTTTGAGACTGATAGCCTCATGTCAGACTCTTGCTGTCACACGAGGTGGCAGTTTATTGATCTTAAAACCACCAACCCGAGATTCCCGGATCTCCCTCTTGGGATGAGGCGAAAAGCATCCAAAATCATTGCCAAGATCATTCGCAAGCTATCATCACGACAGTCGAATATGAGGACTTCGATCTTCAAATCCACGTCCCCCAACACTTCAACTTCGGCCACATCGTCATCAACAGCTACGCCTCTGGATGGCAAGAACATGGTGCCTCAAGTTCTGATCCATTTCAATATCAATCGCGCCTCCCATCCTCGCAGATTGGGCCGCGGCCGCATTAATGAGACAATTGTGAGTACCACCTGCACCTCGTTCCTTCCTCCTACTGACACCACCCAGGCTCACAATGCTCTCTCAACTCCCCTCTCCACAATGCTACTTCTTGTCTTGTTGGTCCTCTATTTCTTCCGCATCACCACAACTCCTTGTGATGATGGGTCTCGCTCTGTTCAACGCCACTTCTTCTCATGATAAATCTCCATCCGAGGACTCGGGTACTATTACATCTCACCTTGTGCAACAACCTTTCGGACTTGAAGAATGAACGTCCACCGCTTCAAGACATGATGGATTCGGCATGCCAAGACCCCCGTGGCACCCCACCTCATCACAACAACCTTTGTGATTTGAGGCCTGATGGCAGAGTTTTTGAGACAATCAAGCAATGCATCGTGCCTAAAGAGACAGCCTCAAGAACTTTCCAACTCACTCACTTGTGGTAGGTATAGCATTATACTCATCCAGAAACGCCAAGCTCGCCAAGCTCGCTCCGCGAAAAACAACGCGCGATGGCAATTGTCCGAACAATGCTGCCAAAACCTGATCACAAAGGCCGAAAGGTATGTATATTCACCTCGATCTATTCCGTCCTCAAAGCTAACTGCGGTCTAGCCCGCGACTCCTGGGAGCTCCATACCCCCCGTAGCTCCGATGCAGGCAGACTAAATTCACTAGAGCCTCGCTAGCATGATCTTAGCCTTTTGTAGGTAATATACCTGGCGATATACGCTTTTCTAGTGGCTTCTAGCCCTTATTCACCTTAACTTAGTACTTAACCTATATTTTAAGCGTACCTAATATAAGACGACACATTAAATTCCAATTCACTAAACACCTTACTATTACCGAATAGCTTATAGATAGCTACAAGTACATATATTCATTAATAGTACCTCTGTAACTATTTAAAAAAATAAATATAATACTTGAAAGAACTCATATAATAAGCTAAATTTAGATATCTTACGGTATAAGTAGTAGATTTGTGAACTTCATTTATTTTTTATTTGGTCTAAATCCTCCTCTAATATTTCACTTATTTTAAGCAATTAGTTAAAGATTATATTTCGAAATGTCTTACGCGAATACTTAAGAAATAAATATAATTAAAGCTAACTTATTTCTATTCTTAGTTTAAGCTACTATTGTTTTCTAGTTGTATACTTATATTAAAAACTTAGTAATCTATAAAAAACCATCTTACTACTTTATAATAATAAAAATACTACCATTACTTTATAATTATTAGAGGGCGAGGTTATTATATAGAGTAGATAAGCGGACTAGAGTGAGAAGCTAGCTAGGAGGAGTAGAGGGTCTTTATAAGATGACCCTAACCTAGTAGAAGTCTCCAGAGTACTAGGCTTCTACCTAGGTAACCACGACAAGTTAGGTAGTGAAGATAGGAGTCTCGGCTTAGACCGATATGTCATGACAATTACTGCCACAAAATCGAAAGACGATACCCTAGCGTTCCTAATCCCTCGGTGGATATAAATAAAGTAAGTATCCTGTTAGCTCTAAATCCTTGTCTAAATCGGTGTCTCTTTATAGCACATGCCGATATCCAAATGCAATTCCAAATGCAAGTCCAAATGTAATGTAAAATATGTATTCCTTGTCGGGTGGAAATGAGGCCCTTTGTGAGGGTTGGAACCCATGATGGAGGCTCGGGCCATGCCCTCGCTAAGCACTGACCAAAGTCCCCGCTCAGCATTGGCCATTGCTCCACTGCTAAATTGGTTTCTCCTTTTCTACACTTTTCTACTCTATTCTTTTGACGTCACGTATTTCTCAAACAGTTTCTTGGAAGACTCCAGAAACTCTTCCTCTCTCTATATATAGAGGAAGAGATTGCATGTATGTAGTCTTCA